GGCGCATTTGATTGGGTGACACAAATGATTGTACGGAAATGACCAAATTAGGGCCGAAGAACAGCAGAGAAGTGGCCAAATTAGGGCCGGGTGAGTCGCAACCCCTCGAAGCAGTGCCGAACCAGCACCGCAACTAGCCCGAACAATTTTTCAACCTAAACACCCAACAAGCTGACAACATTTTGTTTAGAAACAGGTCAACCCTAAACACCTTGTCGCAGAGTGTTTAGGGTTGATTATCCCTAAAATCATGCCATCCAATAGGGGTTTATATTTGTTATGGCTCGGAGAATAAAAATTTAGGCTCGTACGCAGGTTCGGACCTTCGTACTAGGGGTGCGACTCACGCGGCCCTAACTTGGCCACTCTCTGCTAATGTTCGGCCCCTCGATGATCTCTTCCCAATGATTGTACCCCCCATTTCTTCAACCGCTTGGCTGAGGTGTGGTCTCGACGCGCGGGATTTTTTCCCGCGAAAAATTGGCATTGACATTCGAACCGCGTGCGATTTTTTAACCATGACGAGTCGCTTTACAATTCATCAGCGACGTTAGCGCGTTTCACGCTGACCAATGGAAAATACAGTAATAGTCGCTGAAAGGCGACTCGCATTTGGGACACACTACAATTTATGTTGTTTTTGGGTGTCACAAAGCGATTGAGACATTTGTGTCGACACATGAATGCACCCTTAGTAAACTAGGCTAACAGCATTCGCAAAGCCGGTTACCAACAAAAGTTAGACCATTGTTTCGAATGTCTTCACCAAAAGACATACGCCCTTACAGAGTACTTCATTTTAGGTACACCCTCTTTCTCATACTTTTCACCTTGCGCGACTCGTCGCTACAGTTCTTGTCTCTTGCGATCTGATGCCATTAAACGTTCCTAGCAAATTGGGGGGAAAAGCCGAACCACGTGACAAACTGGCTCAAGGGCGTAAAAAATCCGTAGTCGCTGTATACCCTGTCCAACCGAATGAAAACGTTGACAAAGCTTTGTGTAAAGTGCATCACCTTACCTAACCGCATTCTTCGCATTGTGCTTTTACAGTAGGTGACAAGACCGTTCTGAACGTGGTGACGTTCTACAACTCGTGTAAGATCTGCAACCAGATGCTCTACTAGCGTGAAAAATAGTGTAGTCGCACGTAGGAAGAAAATCAAGTGGGTTAGAAATTGGAATCACGTGCGCATCGTCGCCTCACTCATGTAGGAAGTGGATTTACGCCACCAGAGAAAAATGAAACATGTGTTGACACAGCATTGACCCATAGTGAACACCCACCGCTCCGCCAAGTCACTCTCGCACTGACAGCAGGGAAAATTCAACCAGTTAAATTTGAGTGACGCCTTTGACCCGGCCAGTTCCGCCAAGTCACCCAACCAGTTCCGCCTCACTCACGTTGCGCTGGCGAGCCATGTCAACGCGCGTCACCACAGTCCCAACTTCTCACAGCGCTCGATTTCCTTCCAAACCCCATGCCATTCTCCCACGCCCCTGCGGAAATTCCAGATAAATTCACTCCGCCCTTTCTCCTTTCCAAACACCTTCAATCTCCGAAGTTGTTCTGTCCTCCCGCCTTTTCCACAGCTCTCCAATTTCTAGCATCTTGGTCTTCTCAGCACACCAAACGAGCAGAGCTCCTGTGATTGTCCTCCCGCGCAAATAGTTTTGTAACATCGCACAAGAAGCATTTCCTGTCAAAAATGTCGCAACTTGAAATGGCTGAGCAGCAGGTTCCGAGCATGCAGGGCATGAATGCTGGAAGTTTCAACGCAGCTCCACCGCCTGCCAAGTACGCCGCGCCAGCGCCTGCGCCAGTTAATTCGGCGGGGTGCTGTGCGGATGGCTGCTGCGCGAACAACAAGCGGTCCCCGCTGTACACGTGGCTTCCTTTCGGCCTTCGCATCGGCCTCTTCTTCTTCTGCCTCATCGCTTTCAGGTGCGCTCATCACTTGAATTGGCTCATGATGTTTCATTCAATGTTCACCTGATTTCACCTGCTCAATTTTTGCTCGATTTCCCTTCAAGATCTTATGATTTCATACAATTGCACAAAAGCTTCATTTTCCATTTTCGTAGCTTTTTTTTTTTCAGCAGTTTGCATTTCTTCCTCTCTGTTTTCTTTCTTCTTCCTCCGCGGTCTGTGCTTCACGACCAAGGCGGCAGTGACGGGGTACAAAGCCGGCGCGTTTCTCACCATTTTATTTCCCTTTCATTACATTCTTGCTCTCCCTCTTACAACAGTCTGCTGTTCGCGACCAGGGCGACAGTGACGTCGTACAGCGCGGGCGCGTTTCTGGTGGGCATGGCCATTCTGGGGTTCATATTCGCCGTCATGCTGCTCGTGTACAACTCCGTGCGCATGTGCGTGGCCGGCTCCGAGTCCTACGATTGGCTGATGGACATCGTGCAGTTCTTCGAGTCCTACGTGAGTCCCTCTAGCCGCGTGATTTGATTGAACCTTTGAACTATGCGAATCCTACGTGACTCCCTTCTATCCGTGAAAGCTCTTAGGATCGTAAACGCCTTAGTCGGCAATAGTCTACTTGCTATTGCTTATCGTGTTCTCCACGATCACCCGATTCCAATGATATGCGCAGCTCTGCTTGAAGTTGTCAATACACAGTTCAGCAATTTTCAGAATCACCAACTGATCAATGTTATATTTCCAGAATGAGTACAAGCAGTTTTATAGGCATGCAAGACACAAAATGCGATTCGTAACTTCACTTGTTTCCCAAGTAACCGCGTGCGCCTCGTTTCACCCCGAGTCGCACACGGAACCGAACCGAATTCGGTGAACACTCCTCAAGACCGAATCTGGAACCTTCTCGAACGCGCCTTGGTCTCAGACCACAATTTCCCCCGTCGATCTCATCCTCGATGCTTCTCCTTCTCTCTTCCTCCATTTCTTTGGTTCCTTCTCGATTTCTCTCCCGCTTCTCACGCCGTAGGCTGATTTCCACCGTTTCACCTAGAATCATACACGCGCTTCCATTTCGCCGTCATTCCGCCGTCGTAGAGACTTTCGCCTTAGGTTCCGTGGTTGGGCGAACCAACCCTAACAATAGAACTGTGGTACGAGCTCGAGGCGTGTTCGAGAAGGTTCCAGATTCGGACTTGAGGAGTGTTCGGTGCATTCAGTTCGGTTCCGTGTGCGACTCGGGGTGAAACGAGGCGCACGGGGTTACTTGGGAAACAAGTGAAGTTACGAATCGCATTTTGTGACTTGCTTGACTATAAAACTGCTTGTACTCATTCTGGAAAACACAACTTGGAGATTCTGAAAATTGCTGAAGTGTGTATTGACAACTTCAAGCAGAGCTGCGCATATCATTGGATTCGTGAGATCGTGGAGAACACGATAAGCAATAGCAAGTAGACTATTGCCGACTAAGGTGTTTACGATCCTAAGAACTGGTATTAGAGCTTGGCGAACGGGCGCGTCGATCGCGGTGAATTCACTTGGTGCGCTAAGTGAAATTAGTGGAGAAGAGGAGTCGTTCACGCCTACGCCATGGGAGACGAGGCGAGTTCGGGTTCCAGTGTGAGTCTTGGAGACCCGCAGTTGAAGGCTCTTCTCGAGGCCCTTGCGAGTGGCCGATTGGTGGCGAAACCGACGATCGGGCTCAGTGAAGCCCAGCGCTTCAACGGAAGCAACTACAACGTGTGGCGGAAGAAGTTTATTCGGAGGGCAGAGGAGGTTGACCTCTTGCCGTACTACCGTCCCGACGAGGAGACGATGGAGGGAGTTGCGCCATCCCCGACGGATACGAAGGAGAAAATAGCGGCGTTCAAAAAACAAAGTAAGCAAGCGTTCTTTCAGCTTTGTCACTCAGTTGCCGATGGAATCGCGGTGGATTTGGACCAGTTTGCAGGGGAGCTGAACTCTGCACAGAAAGCGTGGGAGTACCTGGAGTCCACGTACATGGGCACGAACGATGTCAACAAGAAGGCGATTAGGAAGCAACTGCTGATGCTGAGCATGGAGAAAGGCGAGAAAATCATCACCTACATCAACAGGGCAAAAAACTACAACGACGACTTGCGGGTGATGGGAGCCGCGGAGACGGAGCACGAGATGATTGACTATATCATCCAAGGCCTTCCTAAGGAGTGGGAATCCGACATCGGTATGTTTAGGTACCAACCGCCGGAGAGTTTGACGAAGCTGCAGGAGATTCTGCAATCGCTTGAGACGGTGAAGGAGATGAGGAAAAAGAAAGCGGCAGCAGCAGCTACGGATTTCGACGAGGAGAGGCCGGCTTTTGTGAATGCAACGAAGGCGTTTGGAGCGTGCTACCAGTGTGGAAAGAGGGGGCATAAGGCGATAAACTGCTACGAAAATCCGCGAAGCAGAAACTACAAGGGCAAAGCGGTGGAGAACGAGAAAGGAGAAAATGGGGGAGCAGAGTGGCAACAGAAACGAGGTTTTGGCGGCAAGTGCGATTATTGTGGGCGCTATGGGCATCGTGCCGCAGAGTGCTACTCCAATCCGAACATCAGGAGCTACAAGGGTCCGTCGCAGCAGAGGATTGTGGCGGGTAAGGCGAATGTAGCGGAAGCCGAAAAGGAGGATGTGATTTTGGGAGGAGCGCATCGTGCGAACGGTGGTGCGTTTACCGAAGGATGTTCGTTAGACGGACGGACGTGAGAAGACGGCATGGTTCATGGACAGCGGATGCACGCGTCACATGACATTCAGGTCAGATTGGATGGAGAACATGAGGGAGTCGAGTGAGCGTTATATACTGCAAGGTAACAGTGGGAAGTTACCAGTGACAGGAGAGGGTGACGTGGTGCTGCAAAGTCCGTATGGAGAGGTGAAACTGGAGAATGTGCTCTTGGTTGAGGATTTGAAGGTGAATTTGATGAGTCAGTCACAGCTTGATGACTTGGGGTGCAAGATATTTTATGACAAAGGCGAGGTTACAGTGTTTGGTCCTGAGTGGGAGAAGTATGCCGATGGATACTTCAGTGACGGGTTCTATGAGATGAACTTGATAGCGATGAACGACAAGGATGAGATCTATGAGGATCCTGAGTCTACTGAGGTTGATGAGAGCGAGGACACGGATGATACGGGAGCGAGTGTGGAGGCAGCAGTGAAGCAGGAAGAAGAGATAGTCACCATGGAGGCAGCAGCGGTGAATGATGGAGATGGAGATGGTGTCAACACTTTTGCAGCAGCGGTCGTGGTTAAAGATGAAGCAGTAAATGCGAAGTGTGTGGGAGTTGAAGCTGTGAAAAGGGGGCATCATGGTGAAGGGATTAACGGCGAATGCAACTGCAAAGGGGCGAGTGCTTATGAAAGAGGAACACGTTGAGGGGTACAAGACCCGAGAGGTGTTGGGTGCTAAGATTCCGAGGAGAAGCGAGAGGCTTAAGAAGATGCCTCATGGTTTGGATATCAAGGCGCTCAACTTCAAGACACGTAAGCAGATGTTCAAGGTGCAGGAGCTGCAGGGGAGCGTGAAGCCGACTTAGACCCTGTGAATGCTACAAGGAGCAGGAAAGCAGTGCGAGTGGTGTTCGTGGTTGACGAACCACAGGGGAGATTGTTAGGGTTGGTTCGCCCAACCACGGAACCTACGGCGAAAGCTTCTACGACGGCGGAATGACGGCGAAATGGAAGCACGTGGATGATTCTAGGTGAAACGGTGGAAATCGGCCTACGGTGGATATTGGAAGCTACGGCGTGAGAAGCGGGAGAGAGATCGGGAAGATACTAGAGAAATGGAGGAGAAGACTAGAGAAGTATCGAGAATGAGATCGACGGGGGAAACTGTGGTACGAGCTCGAGGCGGTTCCAGATTCGGACTTGAGGAGTGTTCGGTGCATTCAGTTCGGTTCCGTGTGCGACTCGGGGTGAAACGAGGCGCACGGGGTTACTTGGGAAACAAGTGAAGTTACGAATCGCATTTTGTGACTTGCTTGACTGTAAAACTGCTTGTACTCATTCTGGAAAACACAACTTGGAGATTCTGAAAATTGCTGAAGTGTGTATTGACAACTTCAAGCAGAGCTGCGCATATCATTGGATTCGTGAGATCGTGGAGAACACGATAAGCAATAGCAAGTAGACTATTGCCGACTAAGGTGTTTACGATCCTAAGAGTTGATTTGATTGAACCTTTGAACTATGCGAATCCTACGTGACTCCCTTCTATCTGTGAAAGCTACGTGTTTAATGGAACCCTCAAGACCGGCGTGAGCCTATCAAAACATTACTGACCGTTGAATTGCCTAATTAGTACCGGTTATACTCTTGGGTATAACACACGAGTTTTTTCTATCCTTTGCGAACACATGAGTTTTCAACCCTCGCATGACGTTCTTGTTCCCTTTCTTACGTTTCCCAGTATGGGTTCATTTCTGTTCAACGGGTTGCCGTGTGTAAATAATGTTCCATTGTTTCTGTTCAACCCCTCCCCACCCCTGGATTCGACAGATTATGTCAATCTTGTTGTTCGCGGCCGCCACGTCCGCAGCGGCTGCGTGCAACACGTGGTGGAACACCAGCGCCTTGAGCAAGTACGTTCCTCTTTGGCATAACTACAGTAAAGAAAGAAACATACTAAAACATCTAACATACCTACACACTCGAGCAATCTATGAATGATCTAGAAAGTTTTCGCGGTTTTGCATTTTCCAAAATTTTCTTTCCTTTCTCCCCGTCTTGCAGTTTCCTTCTTGGAGATTACGACAGCATCAGCACCAAGGACTTTCTCGCCTCTTTGAGCATCAGCTTGTCTCTCCCTGCCTCAACAAAGGACTATGCAGCTTTTATCAGTCAATACATTGACGACATTAACGCGGATCCGAGCAAGGTCCGTGCGTATATCGCGGCTTTCTCCTATATCGCAGTTATTTGGTACTACACCATCCGCATCTTCAAGCGCGGTGTGCTCAAGGCCATTGCTGATGCAGCTGTGCCGGCAGCAGTCAAGGACAGTGTTCCTCATTACATCGTTCTCCTGTTTTCTTTCTTACTGTAGTATGTTTTCTTTCTTATTAGGTGTATTTGTGATTGGGGAGTGGCATGCATGTTTTGGTGGTCATGATATGGGGTTCTGTGTCACTGTTGGTGCATCTCTGTCTGGTTGGGGCTTCAGAGGCAAGCAGAGCATAATAAATGCTCAGCAGGGCCCAGTAGGGTTCTGTTCTGCTGCCTCCCTGTAGCTGTATGTTTTTGGTTTGATACGATTTTATACCTCTTGGAAATTGATGTTATGTTCAGTAGTCAACTCGAGTCTAGATGCTCCACACCAGACACCTTGTTAAATAATGATCGCGGAACTAATGATTGTAGATACTAAGGCCAGCTCAACATGCTACAAGGGCTTTTCTTGACTACAAAATTATCGGTTTGATTGCTCTGCCACTACACTAACGCTACTACTATGCCTAAAGAAGCTCGTACACTACAGGTTTCTGGTAGCGACACCGCAGAATAGAGATATCCCCTCCCACTCCCCCCCCCCCACTCCCCTCCCCCCCCCCCCCCCCCCCCCCCTGGCTGCTACTGCTGCTGCGCCTACAAAAGCTCCTACTCTACAGGTTGTGATAGCGGCACCACAGCTTGCAATACACCCTCCTCCTGCTGCTACCGCTGCTACCGCTGCTCCTGCTGTTGCTGCTCTTGATATTTCCTGCTCCGCTTTTTCCTATTCTGCTTGCCCACTGTAGCACTCAGCTACTCTTGAGTCGACTCAGAACCCTCCAGCCCTGCCGCCCGCCTTAACTCCAGTCCAAATAAAGCCACCCTTCCCCCCTCCCCTACTCCTATGCAGAGGACTTCTTACTGAATCGATGCACCTCCAGACCTCCCGTCACCAACCCCATGCCGCCTGCTTCTCTTCCCTCCTTTTGAGGCGCCTCAAAAGTCAACTCCATGCCGCCTGCTTCTCTTCCTTCCTGTCCTGGGGGAGCCATCCTTCCCTCCCTCTCCTCCCCTACCTCCCCCCCCCTTCCCCCCCACACCCTCCCCTCCACCTCTGCAGGTGATAGCGATTGTCCACATCGGCATATCTTTTATCCCTGACACCTCCCTGACACCTCCCTGACACCTCCCTGACACCTACCTGACACCTCCCTGACACCTCCCTGACACCTCCCTGACACCTCCCTGACACCTACCTGACACCTCCCTGACACCTCCCTGACACCTCCCTGACACCTCCCTGACACCTCCCTGACACCTACCTGACACCTCCCTGACACCTCCCTGTGTGGCCCGGCCCTCTGTGGCCCAATCATCCCCACCTCCCCACACCTTCCCGCCCATCCCTTCCCCCTCCTCGCCCGCTATCAGCTCATCTGCCACGCCCTCGCCTGCAATGTCAAACTGCTGCGTGGACGACAGCAGCTCCTGCTGCTGCGCCCATGGGCAACATCCTACCCTGCACGCTCACCCAGACCGCAACAGCAACTCACCAACAACCTAAGTTTTCTCCAACCCCTGGGGATTCTTGTGAGAAGCCTTTTGAGACATCTTTTGAGACATCTCAAAATCTTTCGAGACATCTCAAAAGTCGCAACAGCAACTCACCATTAGCCTAATTCTCCTCCAACCCCTGGGGATTCTTATGAGAAGCCGCCTCAAGCATTTCGAACCACTCCTCAGTGGCCCGGTCCCCCTCGCCTGATCCTTGCCACCCATCCTCTCCTCCTCCTCCTCCTCCTCCTCCTCCTCCCCCCACACCTCACCCAACCCTCAATTCTCCTCCACACCCTGCGGGACCTTATGAGAAGCAGCCTCGAGCATCTCAAACCACTCCTCTGTTGCCCGGTCCCCCTCGCCCGCCCACTCGTTCCCGCCCTGCTGCAACCCCCCACACACCCCACCCACGCCACCCACAACCCACACAGACCGCACCCACAATCTAACTCTCCTCCACACCCTGCGGAACCTTATGGGAAGCAGCTTCAAGCATCTCAAACCACTCCTCTGTTGCCCGGTCCCCCTCGCCCGCCCACTCGTTCCCGCCCTGCTGCAACCCCCCACACACCCCACCCACGCCACCCACAACCCACACAGACCGCACCCACAATCTAACTCTCCTCCACACCCTGCGGAACCTTATGGGAAGCAGCTTCAAGCATCTCAAACCACTCCTCTGTTGCCCGGTCCCCCTCGCCCGCCCACTCGTTCCCCCCCATGCCCTCGCCCTCCTCGCCCGCGATCAGCTCATCAGCCACGCCCTCATCCCCAATGTCAAACTGCTGCGCGTACTGCAGCAGCTCCTGGAGAGACTCCTTCTCCCTCTTTAGCATCGTCACTTCTCTCGCCAGCTCTGCCTTTTCTCGCAGCAGGCGCTCAACTTGCATACGCAACTGTGAACGGGGGAGAGCAGAATGGGGCGGGGAGGGTGGGGGAGTGAGGAAGGGGGTCATAAGGGGAGGAGGGTGTAAGAGAGGGGATGCACCCGCGATCAGCTCATCAGCCACGCCCTCATCCCCAATGTCAAACTGCTGCGCGTACTGCAGCAGCTCCTGCAGACTCTCCTTCTCCCTCTTTAGCATCGTCACTTGTCTCGCCAGCTCTGCCTTTTCTCGCAGCAGGCGCTCAACTTGCATACGCAGTTGCAGGGGGGTTGAAAGAAGGGGGAGTTCGGGGAGGGGGAGGAGGGAAAGGGGGTCATGAGGGGAAGGGGTAGTAAGAGAGGGGATGGCGCCTACCCATCTCTCCCTCCTCGCCCGCGATCAGCTCATCAGCCACGCCCTCGTCCCCAATGTCAAACTGCTGCGCGTACTGCAGCAGCTCCTGCAGAGACTCCTTTTCACGTTTCAACATCGTGACCTCCCGTGCCAGCTCTGCTCTCTCGCAGCAAACGTTCGACTTGCATGCGCAGCTGCAGAGGGGGGGAAAGAAGGGGGGGTTAGGGTTTGGGGAGGGGGAGGGGTAACGGTGGTCATGAGGGGAGCGGGGTGTAAGAGAGGGTATGCATCCCCAGTGAGCTCATCAGCCACGCCCTCGTCCCCAATGTCAAACTGCTGCGCGTACTGCAGCAGCTCTTGGAGTGACTCCTTCTCGCGCTTCAGCATCGTGACCTCGCGTGCTAACTCTGCTTTCTCCCTCAGCAAGCGCTCCACTTGCATGCGCAGCTGTAGAGGGTTGGGAGAGAAGGGGGGGTTTGGAGAGAGGGAGGGTGGGAATGCGCCCTGCTAGCCCTGCTTTCTCCCTTAAGAGACGCTCCACTTGCATGCGCAGCTGTGAAGGAAGTGAAGGGGGACAAGGGAGCGCCAAGGAAACAAGGGTGAAAGTGGGAGCGGGGTGTGTGTGAGAGAGGGCATGCAGGGCTTTTTTTAGAATTCTAAAAAAAGTGGGAGTGGGGTGTGAGAAAGGGGATGCGCATACTGTTGCAGCAGGAGCTGCTGCAGAGCAGACGCACAATGAAGGCAGGCAGTCCCAGAGGATACATCAGAACAAGACCTGCTGCAGACGCACAATGAAGACAGGCAGTCCCAGAGGATACAGCTAGAACAACTACTGCTGGACTCACAATGAAGGTGTCCTCCTGTGAGTTCCTCAGCCCCTCGTTATCCACCTCCAGTCGCTCCACCTGCTGCTTCAAAGGACTTGACTACAGACGAGAGCGAGCCGTAGAGCCAAGAGCACACTTGATCCACTCACAATGAAGGTGTCCTCCTGTGAGTTCCTCAGCCCCTCGTTGTCCACCTCCAGTCGCTCCACCTGCTGCTTCAGCTCCTCCACCTCCTTGGACAGATCGCTCTCCTCCTGGCGCGACCCCGACCGCACATATCTCTCGCTCTTCGGAGCCTTCTGTCACGTGAATGAAGGGTGGAGGAGGAAAGGGAGGGAGGGGGGGCTGTGTCAGTCTGCTGCTTCAGCTCCTCCACCTCCTTGGCCAATTCGAGGGGTGGGGAACCGGGTGGGGGATGAGGGGGTGGGAGGGGTTGTCTGAGGTGCCTTGCCACTCCACCTGCTGCTTCAGCTCCTCCACCTCCTTGGCCAATTCGAGGGGTGGGGAACCGGGTGGGGGATGAGGGGGTGGGAGGGGTTGTCTGAGGTGCCTTGCCACTCCACCTGCTGCTTCAGCTCCTCCACCTCCTTGGACAGGTCGCTCTCCTCCTTGCGTGACCCCGACCGCACATACCGCTCACTCTTCGGAGCCTTCTGAAACAAATAACAGAGACGGAGGGAAGCAGGAAGAGGGGAGGGGGAGAGGGGCTTGTTTGAGATGCCTTGTGGCTCCTCTACTGCCTTCGCCTGATCGTTCTCCTCGTGTTTTGAACCCTAAGCCCAATCCTGAGCATGAACCCCCAAACCCTCACACTGGTTGCACATAAAAGAGGAGCTTCTGAGAGGCGTTTTCTGTCTCCTTTGCCCTCTCGCCCACCCCATGCCTCACTCTGACTATCCTCCCTCCCCCCTCCCTCCCACTCTTCCACCCTCCTTCCCTCCCTCCCTCCCACCCTTCCACCCTCCTTCGCTCCCTCTCTCCCATCGCCTCTCAATCTGACGTACCTTCCCCGCGCTGCCAGGGTCTCTATACCCAAGCTGCTTGGGTGATTCCGGAGGGGGCCCTCTCGCTGCCGCCTCCTCTGCTATTTCAGGCAGCAGGCGGAACTCGCCTGGGGGAATACCGGCGGGGAGCCAAAAACACAGGGAAAGGGGGGGGGGGGGGGGGGGGGGGGAAGCAGGTGACTTTTGAGGCGTCTCAGACCTCCTCTGCTATTTCAGGCAGCAGGCGGAACTCGCCTGAGGGAATACCAGGAGAGGGGGGGAAAGCACAGGGAAAAGGGGGGTGGGAGGAAAGTAGGAGACTTTTGAGGCGCCTCAAAACTCCTCTGCTATTTCAGGCAGCAGGCGGAACTCGCCTGAGGGAATACCAGCGGGGAAGGGACACAAGGGGGAAACACACAAGAGAGAGAGAAACGCGGAGGGAACACAATGAGCGGGGGAAAACGGATTGAACACAAGTGGGGGAAAAACGAGAGGGGGGAACACAGGAGAGGGGTGGAACCAGGGAAAGAGGGAAACGTTGGTCACATTTATCACTTTAATGAGGAGAAGAGGGCCTTATAGAAGGAGCTGGTCCACCAGCGCTGCATCTTCAGTCAATACCCCTCACTACTGTCACTCTCCTTACACTCACTACTTACCATGGTGCCCTCTGCGGCACTTTAAAGAGAAGTGATCCGTATAGAGGGGGTTGGTCCAACAGCGCTCCATCTTCAGTTGAGACCTCGTTACTGCTACGTTACAGTCACACTCGTTATAATCACACTCACCATGGTGCCCCCTGCGGCACTTCAACAAGGAGAAGTGGTCCTTATAGAGGGGGTTGGTCCACCAGCGCTGCATCTTCTGTGAGCTGAAGGGCCCCTGCACATCCCCGTGCATGTCCACGTAGAACCACTCCTGGTGGGTGGAGAGGGGTGTAGAGAGGTGTAGAGGAGCAAAGAGGGGCGAAGAGGGGTACAGAAGAGAAAAGGACAGAAGAGCTGGGCGAGAGATGTGGGAGTTGAAGGGGCCCTGCACCTCCCCATGCATGTCCACGTAGAACCACTCCTGGTGGGTGGAGGAGAGGGGCACAAAGGGCCGCACAGAGGGGCGCAGAGAGGTGTAGAGAGGTGTAGAGAGGAGAAGTGTGTGTGATGTGTGAAGGCACCGAGGAAGGGGCGTGCGATCTGAACGGCCCCAGCAGCACCTCCCCATGCATGTCCACGTAAAACTACTCCTCAAGGGCCACGTGTAGAGAGGGTGTTTTTGAGACGTCTCAAAAACACCCTCTCTACACGTGAACAGCCCCAGCAGCACCTCCCCATGCATGTCCACGTAAAATTACTCCTCAAGGGCCTCCTGCACCTCTCCAAGCACGTTCACATTGGCAATGATAGGTTTGAGCCAGTGAACGTGCCTATCTCACTGGTTTTGCCTGCCCGGCAGTCGTGAACGCTATCTCACCTGCCCGGGCGTCTTGAACAGATTCGTGATTGGGTCGTCTGCAGAAACCAGGCTGACAACTGGCACGACTGCTGACGCGGCGGCTGACGTGGCGGCAGCAGGGGACCCGTCTCTCCGCGGAGAGATCCCCGCCAGAGCAGCTGCTGACGCGGCAGTGGCAGCTTCCAAGGAGACTGCTGTGCGTGAGGGGGTTCCTGCTCCTCCTGATGCTGTTGTTGCTGAGCCATCAGGAGCCGCCTGGTACGAATGGGGATGCAGCACAGCAGGAGGGAGGGGGAAGTGGGGGTAAGGGTAGGGATGGTGAAGGGAACGAGGCAGTGGCGGCCTCCAACGAGACTGCTGTCCGTTAAGGGGTTCCTGCTCCTCCTGATGCTGTTGTTGTTGAGCCATCAGGGGCCGCCTGGTAGGAATGGGGAGTGAGGGGAAGAGGGGAAGAGGGGAAGAGGGGAAGAGGGGGGGGCAGCTGCTGACGCGGCAGTGGCGGCCTCCAAGGAGACAGCTGTCCGCGAGGGGGTTCCTCCTCCTGCTGATGCTGCTGTTGTTGAGCGATCAGGAGCCGCCTGGAGGAGTGGGGATGCAGCAGGAGGGGGGAAGGTGAAGGTAAGGGTGGGGGTGGTGGGACGGAGCAGTGGCGGCTTCCAAGGAGACTGCTGTCCGTGAAGGGGTTCCTGCTGATGCTGTTGCGCTATCAGGGGCCGCCTAATAGGATTGGGGAGTGAGGGGAAGAGGGGGGTGCAGCTGCTGACGCGGCAGTGGCGGCTTCCAGCTACACTGCTGTCCGCGAAGGGGTTCCTGCTGCTGGTGCTGCTTCTGCTGCGCCATCAGGGGCCGCCTGTCAGGAGTGGGGTGCAACGGGAGGGAGGTGCGTGGGAAGGAGCGGGGAGGGAGTTGGGGGGGGGAGAGGGGGGAGTCGACTTGAATGTCTGATGGGAGTGGGAATGCGGAGGGAGGGCAGGGAGAACGGGGAGAGGGGGGAGAGGGGGGGGGAGGGGGGAGAGGGGGGAGAGGGGGAAGGGAAAGAGGGGAGGAGGGAGAGGGGAGTCCGTTTAAATGTTCGTGAGAGGGCATTCCCTACTGCTGTGACCCGCCTGACAGGAGTGGGGATGCGCGGCGAGGGAAGAGAGGGAGAGGCAGAGGGGATGGCAAGGGCAGGAACGGGGAACGGATAACTTTCAAAACATATACAAGCATCACCCGCCTCTGACAAAACCCCGCCTTGGTCCACCCAACCCCGGATTTACCTGCTCACGCACCTGCCCGTGTTTCCCTGCTCACGCACCTGCCCGTGTTTCCCTGCTCACGCACCTGCACGTGTTTCCCTGCTCACGCACCTGCGTGTTCCAATGTGAGGGTCCTAAGCACCTTTCACCTGCCCGTGTTTCCCAATTCACGCACCTGCCCGTGTTTCCGCGCGCGCAGCAGCTGTCGTAGATCGAGCACGTCTCGCAGCGTGTGCCACCGCTGCGTGCCATCCTTGCGAACCTGCACCCCGCGGTCGAACGATCCCACGAACGATCCCACAAACGAACCCACGAACGAACCCACGAACGAACCCACGAACGAACCCACGGATTAGATGCAGTCACACTCGCGGTTTGTCGCAACAGAATATAGAGTCGACACAAGAGCCTGCCTGGACCTGATAAAACAACGTACGGATCACGAATACAGTCGCTTGTGCGGGTTACACGGCATTAAGCGTCGCAGCATTGCAAACCGCACACGGAGATGTTGGAATAGACAAGTGGAACATCGTCGTCGCGTCGTATCATGAGGTCAGGGGTGAAATGACCCGGTATAAGGCGTCTCAAATAAGCAACGTAGGACGTCATCAGGTCGTACCAGGAGGTCGGGGGTGAAATAACCCTTTTGAAGCGCCTGCGTTAGTTGGAGGAGCGTCCGAGGTCTGAACGCGGTATGGGAGGAGAGGGATGGGTGAACGAACGCTGTGACGTTTGAATCGAGTCCAGAGCCACCTTTCGAGAGCGGGTCGATTAATGAAATAGGAGCGTGAAATGAAAGAGGAAAGAGGAAGCCAACAGAAGGCATACGACAGCTGGCCCGTAACTTGAACGAGTTCAGATCAACACTCGAGACAGAAACGAGACATCATTCTGAAGAAAATCTCCGCCTCAATGACGCATATTCGTCCTATGCCAAACAGGAACCGTTCGATCAAGACGGGAGAACCGTTGGCTGAAGACATGAGCACCGTAGGATCAAGAGAGGAGCACCGTTGGCACCGTCCGATCCGACATACCCGTGCTCGCCAGCCCAGTCTTGGTAGTACCACTGCGGCACGTTCTGTCCTGTCGATGGCCTCGCATGCTCCCCGACGCCGTCTGAACCCCCCATGATCCCCAGTCCGGATTCCCGGCTCCCGATTCTCGGCTCCCGAATCGGATCCCGATTCCCGAATCCCGATTCTTTCCACCACCAATTAGTCAAGAATCTACCTGCAGCTGCTTCTGAAACAATTTGCCGTTGCTTTCAGCTCTCGACGCGGAAGGACTTTCTCTGTTTCCGCTGGAGCAATGGTTATTCTTTAAATTCTGTTATTCTGCTCTTCTGCGATGCTACGAGAGTCAGGTTCTGCGTAAGGTCGCTGAGAAGCAGATAGTAGTTATCGAGGAAATCAGGGGAATGGATGGTTGGGGGAATGGATGCACACAACAGGAGAATATCCTGAAATTAGGGTGCCGGAAAGCTTTACTGCGTTCCTACGGGTTCCAATTCGGTTTGACACGTTATAAATGTTGCTGTTGGACATTTGGCTCTCAGGAATCTGGGATTTCAGGCTAGCGAGGCATGACATGACATGGGTCTTGGGGAGGGGCGGAGGGTGGATGGGTTGGGATGGGGGGAAAACTCGGCGCGCCATAGCTGAGACGGGACGAAGCTTGCGGCGGAGACTAGTTTGGGCCAACATCACTGGCATGCAACATAGTATGGTAACCCTATGCAATTGTATGCAAAACCGTCGATACCTCGGTTTTGGACGTATTGACATATTGCGCAAGTATCTAGGTTCTTCTGAATGGACACACTGATTTCTACCACGCTTATCTTTCCGCTAAACTTCGATTTATTCGGGCGACTGGTTCTGCCAGATGAGCAACACTGTTCACTTCTTTTGGCAGAAAAAATTAAACCCAATCGGAAAGGGATGCACCCGGGGAGGCATCAACCCTAGGGGTTTTATATTTTTCCCTGCCTGCCCTAGCAGTAACTGGTAGCAATATACTGGGTGGAATATATTGTTACGAAAAAGACCCCGTTAACTTCCATTCTAACGGATTTTCCTGTTAAAATTATCGTGCAAAATAGTTGCCCGCAGGAATCTTTGTCAGGCGCCGAACGGAGCGCGGTAAAAAACGAATGAAACGAAATTGAAAACGCATTCGATTGTTGCACCCATTGCACCCTTTTTGTGCTGCGTCAGCTGTTACACAGTGTTTTGAGTGGCGCTACCAGACAAATTTGCGAAGCAGAACTAGGGTATCGACGGTTTTGCATACCATCGAATAGGGTTACCAGACTAATTTGCATGTCTATGATGTTGGCCCAGACTAGTTTACATACACACACAATGGGAAATCCGCGCCAGCATCGCAGGGGAGAATTCCGCGCGACCGCCATCCACCACAAACGAGAGGGTGCTTGTGGGAGCCGAGCTCGCGCCACTTCACTGGAGGTTACCCGCTGCCAGTGGCGGCGGTGTTCACATCGAGAGGTCCGCGCGTGAGGGAGGATGATTGGTTGGTTGCGGCGGGGAGGCGCATGGGCCATCGGCCATTCGTTCGGGCACCCATGCTGCTGAGGAGAACCATGTCCATGAGATGATTCCGCCATTGTCAGTTCGTATTATGCAGGATAGAGTACACGCGTGACGATAATACGTCATTGCAATTTCAAGTAATGATAACTCATGATTAACGTTTAGCACAAAGAAAATAGAGTCACTACCTTGTGTGTCTTCTAGAATGGGCTGTCCGAGCCCAAACACTGAAGGCCCCAACCAGCAAAAGGAATCCAGACACACACACCATCACCCAAAAGGCGGGGAGCTTGGAAGCAAGCGCAGTCGACAACAGCGGACCGAACGCATACCCGAGCACACCCGCACCATTGTACAACGCAACCAGCACCGCGACATCGATATGCTTTTCTCCTCCACTCCTTTCCCCATATGAGCTGCTCCGCGCATACCCACTATCAAGCAAATTCACATCCTCGTCTTCCTCACTCTCCAATGCAGACACCAAAGAGGCAAAGCTCGGAAGCTCCGTAAGAGCGTACCCGACTCCATTCGCCGGGCCGCGCTACACGATAACTCCGGAATCATAAGCATGGGGAGCGTCCACGCGAGAATACTCATCCCGACCGAATTCGTCGCTCCCGGCGACAAATTCCTCACATAAAGCAGCACCGAGGAAGCCAGAGCGACAAGAAATGTGAAAAACGCGGAGAACGACGAGAGCGCCGCCCGGGCGTGGGCGTGCAAGCGGGCCTGCACGTGCAGGTGCGCGGTCGCATGCGCGTGCGCAGAGACATAAGCCACAAACGAGTATCCCAGCCCGTTGAACGCAAACGCGAGCCCGACAGAGGCCGGTCCGGCGTCGCAGGTATCCGCTAGGAAGAAAGGGAGCGTGGCCTCGAGGGCTCCAAAGGAGAGCGTTTGCACGGCCGTGGTGAGGAGCACGGCGGTGGCGAGGCGGTTGCGGAGGGCAAAGAGAAGCCCTCGGATGGTCATGCTTCCCTGCCGCTGCCGCTGCTGCTGCTCCTGCTGCTGTTGCTGCTCTTGCTGCTGCTGTTCCAGCTCCTGCAGCTCCTGCTCCTGCTGCTGCTGTTGCTGGTGGTATTCATGCTGGGCGCTGTTGTAGCTACTGTAGCTGCCGCTGACGTCAGCAGCTGAGCTGGAGGCGCCAGCTGTACCAGGTGGGTAACTCGCGGCAACAGGTGCAGATGGTGCAATGGCTGATGGGGCATCAAGGGGAGGGATGCTAGGGGCACTTCGAGGGAGATTGCTTGTTGCCGCCGTGCTGGTGTTGGTGGTGGTGGTGGTGCTGTTCGTGGTGGTGGTGGTGCTACTGCTGGTGGTGGTGGAGGAGGGAATGGAAGGGACAGGAGCAGCATTGGCGATTGAGCTACTGCTGTCTCTGCCGAGATTGAACGCCTGGTCGATCATATCAGCAGGCTCTGCTGCTGCTCCAGGTGCAGTGCCTCTCACACTCATCCCCACCCCTGCTGCTGCCTCTGGCGTAGCTTCAGGCGCTGCGACTTGTGCTGCCGCTAGTCCTGTCACCTGGCCGGACCGTCTTTCGGCCGGTGCTGACGACTCATGGCTCATGGCATGCTGGCCATGTGAACGCGGGTCATGGCTCCAGGCTGAAGCAGCAGCAGGGGTTGTGGTGTCACCTGATAGGGACACCTCGTGCCACTCCGCATCTGCTTCTGCTTCTGCTTCTGTGCTTGCAGCACCTCCTGCAACTGCAGCCCCCGAATCCATAGCAGGAGCATCTTGAGCCATAGCAGCAGTAGAGGCAGCTGCTGGTTCAGGTTCAGGGGTAATGGCAGTGGTAGGTGCGCCAGTAGCGGTGGCAGCGGCATGGGCAGGGGCAGGGGCGGGGGCGGGGGCGGGGGCGGGGGCAGAGGTACGATCAGAAGCAGTCACCTGCGCACTCTCAGGTGTGGGGTTGGGAGGGGGGATGAGGGGGACGACGATACTGGTGGGGATAGGTGCCTGAGGGTCAGACATGCGGGGCTGTGGAGCAGGAGAGGAGTCAATGAGCTGTGGAGGAAGTGAGGGGTCATGGGGCTGTGTGGTGCGTTGGGGGCTATCAGTAGGAGCAGAGGCAGCTGCAGGGTTGGAGGCAGAGGTGATGGGTTCGAATCTCCGAGTCAGCGCAAAGTCTCCATCATCATACTCTGCTGCAACCCCTGAAGGGTCACCTGAAGGGTCATCCTGGCGAGATGCAAACGACGAAAAGAACGAGTCGGGCAGGTCGGAAGGTTCCGGAGGAGGCTCTACCCCGAGCGCCTCAAAATTTACCGTCACCTGCCCGCTGCCCGCCTGGAAACTTGGACTGACGATAGAGTCTGGGCCAGGTTCTGCAGTAGAGCCAGAGGCGAGGCCTAATGACACAGGGCTTGGTGAAGACTGCAGGGTATCGCCGCCGGGGGGGTTAGAGGAGGTATTTGTGAGAGCGTAGGACGCCGGGTTACCCTGTTGCTGCTGCAGCTGCGGTTCCTCCTGCGCTTCCATCTCTTCCTCCTCCTGCTGCTGCTGCTGCTTCTGCTGCTTTTTCTTGCGCCAGCGGAACTGGAACTCTAGGCGGTCGAGGGAGTGCGCTTCAGGGGAGAGCAGGAACGAGAGGAACGCGAGTACAGCCGCTGCCACAGCCGCAACGAGATACGCGATCCAGGGGGACAGGTACTGGTAGGCAAACGAGCCGAACAGCGGCCCTATGAGCGTCCCCAGTGACGCCCACCCGAGCAACGAGCCTATGACTCCGATCAGTAGCGAGGATTCCGCAGAGGAAGCTGCGGAGGAAGCTGCGGAGGAGGCTCCAGAGGGGGTGCCGTCCATGCCGTCTGCAAAGGCGGTGGGGAAGTGGGTGCCTGTGAGGGAGTAGTCTGCTGCTGCGGATCGGAACACCTGGTCGCCACTCCGAACCACGAAGAGTCCTTCGGATGCCGAACCTCCTCCTGCTCCTGCTCCGGCCGAGCCTGGAGCACCAACTCCTCCGACTCGTGCCCTTCGCTCCCCTCTCCCTCCTCTTCCTCCACGCCTCCCTCCTCCTCTACCTCTCCCTCTCCCTCTAACCTGTGCCTCTCTTCCGCTCTGTCCGGAAACGCTTCCTCCTGAAAATTCCCTCCAGCCCTGCCCTTCTATTTCCTGCTGCTGCTCCTCCTCCTCCTCCTGCTCCTGCTGCTCCTGCTGCTGCTGCTGGGAAGGGGTGAGACGTTCGTAAGGAGTGTTGCTGATACCGCTAAGACTACTCGTCCCTCTCCTCCCATCCCCCATCAAACCATAACTTAACGACGTCCTGCCCCGGGCAGTCCACAGCCTGCCTGAGCCCAAAAGTTTATGCAGCCCCTCGCTGCCCTTCTGCGCGAGCTGATCCACCACCTCGTCCAATGATGCGCCGGAACCGCAAACCCGGGCAGCGAAAAAAAGCCCAACGCTGCGCACGGATTGGGTGGCGACTCCCTGAAGCACCAGGGCAGCGGCGAGCGAACCCGCCCCGGCGATCGGAAACGCGAGGGAGAGAGAGGCGAGGGTGGAGAGGGAGAAGGTCGCAGCGAAGATGGTGGGGACGGAGATTAAGAGGAGGAGGACGCCTATGGGGAGCGACGCGAGCACGGACGTGACGTTGCGCGCCGCGAGGAGCAGCGTGACGGCGTGCTGCGTCAGGCCGAAGCGACGCGCGTAGCCCGGGAGGATGGGCGCGACGGAGCTCAGTGTGGCAGAATCCAGGAAGGTTCCGGCTGCATCCAGAGGGGGGAAAAAAAGGGGAGAGGAGGGAAGGGAGGAGGGGAGGGGAGGAGGGGAAGGGGGAAGGGGGGGGGGGGGGGGGGGGTGGGTGAGGTGAGTTTCGTTGAGAATTCTGACAAGTGCTGCTAGAGGTGGCGTGAGTCAAAGGACTGTAATTAGTTGCAGGGAAGCCTGTATGGCAGAAGTAACGTGCGGGGAATAGGGCGTGCAGGGATGTCTGGTACCCGATAAAGGGTAGGGATGTCAAATGCAGGGAATTCGTGGATGATAAGTACCCGATATAAAGCGCAGGAATCGCTTCTCCATGGAGTTGGGCCCGCCGCGCGCTTGCAACAGCGCGGCACGTTGGAGTCGACGCGCCTCGGCGGCGTCTGCGTCGCGCGGCGACGTGAAGCCCATCCCGGCTGCTCCCGCATTCGTGCGGCCCGACGACGACCTCATTGCGTGAATTCCGGGTGAGAGAATAATGAATGTGTGGTCGCGAATGATCCCGACGATGGTCCTGACGTCAGCCTAATATATAGCGCGGTGGCTCACATGTAGTGCTTGTTTTCATACCATGTCAATGTTTTGCTTTCCAAAGGAAGAAAATGTCGCAGACTTTACACTTTAGGAGACAAATGCTGTGTCTTGACGCACAGGGCAGATGAATGCGATCTCGGCTGCCTTAGAATGAAATGCAGCAGCCTGCCCGTTAACTTACGGCTAGAACACGCCCAGGTTCTAGTCTAGTCCATGACCTAGACCAATCGCGTTCAATGCGGCACTGCACTAGCCGATTAGTTTCCCAAAGCTGGCTTCGGTAGGTGGTTGTTGCCCATCACCGCACCAGCACATTTCCATCCATCCATCCGGCACAAAGAAATCTCGTTTACGCGACTTAGCCAACCGCGTTACCAGATATTCATCGCGATGACAACTTTCGTGCAATATACGGTCTTGAATTCTTATTTCATCAGATTGTTTCATCGTAATTCAAGATTTCCATCGCCCACGAACAGGTTGTACTTCGAAATTTCAAAATCCAAGAGGCCTGACATTCTTCAGCATGGTCATCAAGCTGCCCGGCGGGTTGCCCGAGCCTCAAACGGACCAGTCAGTGCCAGAGTATTTATTTCTTAAACATCTTCCATCTGCCCGGAACAGCAGTTCAACCAATCAGCCATTCGCTTCGCTTGAACCAGCCTTGAGAGTTCCGCACAATTCTTCTCCCAGCTGAAACTTTCGACAATCATCGTTCCTTCTAGCCGTTTGCGCAAACAACCCAAGCCAGTTCATTCACTGACTTGATTGAAGCGGAAGCGTAGTTCATCATTCATCCTAACTTTCAATTCCAGGCTTTCTAGTGTCGTCCTCATGACGCCTTGCTCGGAACTTCAGCCTTCCCTTCACCTGCTCAACTGCGCGGGTTCAGCAGCGTCGTGCTAAACTCTGACTGGTTTGTTTTATGTATTCGTGTTTCGCGGGAAACAAAGGGTACTGTGAGCTGGTAGTCTTGCTTGATTCGTAGTCCGAAGTCCAGGATCGCCGCATACTCGCCGGTACCATGGCTCAGCGCTCCCTGTGGAGATTCTACTCCAAGAAAGAAAACGCTTCCAACCCGTTGTCATCACAGCCGCTCGTTTCAACTCAAAACTCTCCAGCGAGCAGCCAAGGTCCATGGGGGTCGACTAATGTTCCCGCTAAAGCGGTCTTCGATAACAGTCCGTTCAAGGCTCCACGCAACCCGTACGCGTTCAGCGGCGCGAACGAGGGGACGGAGCCGAAATGGCGAGTGACGGCCGATCAGCCGTCCCTGAATAAGCCTCCCCCGAGTCAGCGCTTCACGGGGTATCATCCTTCTGATCCGCGCAGCAAGGAGCTCGGCGTACCTGGTACTGCGATTGGTAACATCTGTAACACCGGTAATATCGGTGACATCGGTAGCAAAGGTACCACCCGTAACGGTGCAAACACTTTCGGAACTCCGTCAGCAGCGGCGAGAGCTGGAAACGGTCGAGGTAGTTTCAGCCCACGGCCGCATTTCACTCCCGTGACTCCTGGGATTAAGCCATGCGTCCCGAGAGGGAAGCGAGTGAGGGACGATGCGGATGTTGACGACAATGAGAGTGACTACAGCGAGGGGATTAACTCGTTTCAGGGGAAAAAGTTTTCCTCCGCGAGTCAGCCTGAGCGGCCTGGCGACGGAGCATCTCAGAGGGTTGGCAAACCCTCGTTTTTGTCACAATCTGGTGCGTCACAACCTGATAACTCCAGACGGGCGGAGTTTCTTCGGGCATTGGGAGCCGATGATTTGGACGGCGGGCAGGATAAAAATGCTAGCATGTGGGCCGAAGCCCGGTCGAAGTTTGAGTGGCTGCTGCCCGAGAATATTCGGGACGGGAAGGGGAGGAGGCCTGGCGAGCCAGGGTACGATTCGCGAAGTGTAACCATCCCGCGTGCGATCTTTGACAAGCTGTCAGCGTCGCAGAAGCAGTACTGGGGCACGAAAAGTCGCTACATGGACACCATTCTCTTCTTCAAAGTGGTACGTGTATCCCATTTCTTCTCACCCTCCCTTTTGTTGCTTTCCAAACGTTCCTTTCCAGTCCCGTTCTTCCCCAGCTTCAGAGTTCCCTCAGTGTAATGCTTTGTTTCTTGTTTTACAGTTTTGGAATTCAGGATGTGGATATGTTTAAAGATCTTTTTTTTTCCTGCCACGTGTCATGATCTCACAGGGCAAGTTCTACGAGCTGTACGAGGTGGACGCGGAGGTGGGCCACAAGGAGCTCGACTGGAAGCTCACTGTCAGCGGCGTGGGCAAGTGCCGCCAGGTGGGCAAGTGCCGCCAGGTGGGCAAGTGCCGCCAGGTGGGCAAGTGCCGCCAGGTGGGCAAGTGTCACCAGGTGAGCAAGTGTCGCCAGATGAGCAAGTGTCGCCAGGTGGGCAAGTGTCGCCAGGTGAGCAAGTGTCACCAGGTGAGCAAGTGTCACCAGGTGAGCAAGTGTCACCAGGTGAACAAGTGTCACCAGGTGAACAAGTGTCACCAGGTGAACAAGTGTCACCAGGTGAACAAGTGTCACCAGGTGAGCGTTCTTCGGCTTCAGTTCAAGTCCATAGGTTTAGGATTGATCGTTCAGGTGGCTGTCACGTGCATTTTGCTGTTCGTCACCACACCTCGTCATTCCGTTCCATCTCATGTATGCATATGACTTGACCACTGGCGATTTTGAAAAGTCTCCTCTCTTTTCTCTCCTCTTCCCTCTCTCCTCTCCCCTCTCTCTCGAACATTCCTGTCCCCTCTCTTCTCTCGAACCCCCTCCGGTCCAGGTGGGAGTCCCCGAGAGTGGCATAGAGGACGCTGTTCAGAAGCTCGTAGCCCGAGGGTGAGTGAGGCCCCCCTTCCCCGGGGAGTGAGACCCTGCTTCCACACTGCCCGTTCAGAAACTTATTGGTTGAAAATCTTCGTCGTAGCTTAGATGATGCGGTTCAGAAGCTAGTAGCCAGAGGTTGAGTCCCCCTCCGCTTCTCCTCCCCTCCCCGAATAGGTGAGCTCTCCTTCCCCGCCTCTCCCTCACATTCACACATGCACACATACGCACGTGTGCAACGCACAGCAGCAAGCGAGCATGTCAAACTTACAGGAGCCAATCCCTTGGCCACCTGGACTTACAATCGCCTCCCACTACTCTCCCTCTGCTCCTCTCCTCTCCCGACTCTCTCAGCTACAAGGTTGGGCGCATGGAGCAACTGGAGAGCAGCGAGGAGGCCAAGGCGAAGAGAGGGCCAGGGGCGGTATGTGACTGTATTTCATGTATGTGACTGTCTGAATTTGCAAATATGAGTGTGTTAATGCTTGGATGTGACTGTATACTTTGACTGACAGATGCTTCTGTAGTCATTCTTTGACGTGACTATTTGTTCAAGGATGCGGCCTATCCAGGCTTCCATATGTCGTCACCTGGCATGCGCTCACGCGGCAGGCACTCACATGCCATGTGCTTGGACGGGTGGGGCTGGCAACATGTGCTTGTCATGTCACAATGTAGCAGCCACTTTTGACAGTTCCAACACGTGTGTGTTTGCTCTCTATTCTTTTCTCTGTTAACAGCCTTATGTCTATTCCGTTCGAACAATTCAGAGCCCTCTTTCACCATCACATGCCCCTGCATGCATTGCAGATGGTGCAGCGGCAACTCATGCAGATTCTCTCCCCAGCCACCCTCACAGAGGGGTCTCTCAGACCCGAAGCCGTGCACCTCCTGGCGATCAAAGAGGTGAGCCGCTGTGTTTCCTTGTAATAACAAGAGGTCCAACGATGGATCATGGATTCCTATGGTCCATTGCTGTACCATTTGAAAGTACGTGAGCACCCCTCAGTGGGTGTTTTTCTGTTTTCTAGAAATTCCAGTTTTTTTTCTTAGTGATTGACAACTGCTTTGTCAGCCTAAGCCTCCAATGATGATGCGCCTTGGCAGGCCCTCGTGATTGTTTTTCAAGCACTAGTGCATTTTTTGCTAGGCGTGTCAACGTACGAGACGATTTTCTTTTAATTTTGTGACCAATAACGAGCCCTGATGGATCTCCCATTAACAGAGAGGATCTTTTAGTTGCATGAAACCCCAAACCCCCCCTGCTTGCGGTCGTCCCTTTTAGGTCATCACAGAACCTGCGACCAGCAACAGCGCCGCCAGCATTGAAAACATCATTAGCAGCAGCAGCAGCCTTAACGGGACGCCTAACAGCACCCCGACCAGTGTTGCTTCTGGGTCTATCCTCGTCGGCTTTGCGTTTGCTGACGTGGCGGGCGGGAACGTCTACGTGGGTGCCATGCGGGACGACTCCTCCCGCTCCGCCCTCTCAGCTCTCCTTGTCCAGGTGCAGTGCATGTGATGGGCCTCTCCTCTCTGCGTCCAGGTGCAGTGCACCGACTGTCAACCTTACCTGCTCTGCTCTACATGCTCCGCGTCCATGTGCACTGCATAGACTGTGATGGGCCACTCCAGTTTGCGTCCAGATGCATTGCATATGACTATGATCCCTCTCATCACAGTGGGGCGTTCTATCCTGTACTCATTCTCCTACCGCGCCTTGGCCCAATCGCGCTTCTTTTTGTCGGCAGGCCACCCAACTTGTCCCTCCTTTTGTCCATCCCTCCCTCCCTCGTTTCTAACCACTGTGTGTCGTCCCCCTTCCTTCCAAACTCCATGCACTTGCTGCTCCTCTCATTGGTTCCTTCCTTCCAAACTCCATGCACTTGCTGCTCCTCTCATTGTTTCCTTCCTTCCAAACTCCATGCACTTGCTGCTCCTCTCATTGGTTCCTTCCTTCCAAACTCCATGCACTTGCTGCTCCTCTCATTGGTTCCTTCCTTCCAAACTCCATGCACTTGCTGCTCCTCTCATTGGTTCCTTCCTTCCAAACTCCATGCACTTGCTGCTCCTCTCATTGGTTCCTTCCTTCCAAACTCCATGCACTTGCTGCTCCTCTCATTGGTTCCTTCCTTCCAAACTCCATGCACTTGCTGCTCCTCTCATTGGTTCCTTCCTTCCAAACTCCATGCACTTGCTGCTCCTCTCATTGGTTCCTTCCTTCCAAACTCCATGCACTTGCTGCTCCTCTCATTGGTTCCTTCCTTCCAAACTCCATGCACTTGCTGCTCCTCTCATTGGTTCCTTCCAAACTCCATGCACTTGCTGCTCCTCTCATTGGTTCCTTCCTTCCAAACTCCATGCACTTGCTGCTCCTCTCATTGGTTCCTTCCTTCCAAACTCCATGCACTTGCTGCTCCTCTCATTGGTTTCTTCCTTCACGCGCCTGCTATCAGTCGGCCCCACATGAGGCTCTCTTCAGATGGTGCAAAAGCCCTTCAATTGGAGGCTTTGTTTAGTTTTTTTTACTGCCTGTCTCCCCGTTACCTTCCATCAGGTGGCCCCTCAGGAGCTGCTGTTCGAATTAGACGGTATGTGCATTGTGTTTCGAGCCCAATCAGGTTGCCTCCATCTCCTTGCTTTATTCTGATTCGAGCTGCATTGTGCCCCTGTATATTTAGATACTAGGTGCGTTTTCATGGTAATAGTAGTGATTTTGTTTTTTAAAGAAAACTGGCCGTGTGAAATCCTCTGATTCAGGTCTCTCCACCGACACGAGGAAACTTCTGCGAAGGAGCTCAGGCCCGGGAATCCTCCCGACGCAGCTGACAGCCCTGGCGCCAGGTTCGGAGTTTCCCGAGCCTAAAGCAGCGGTGGCTCGTCTAAAATCATCTGGCTTTGGAACCGTGCAAGAGTCCCCACAGAGAGAGCCATGCCACGGGAGGGGGGCGGATTCTCTAGTGCGGTTGCTGGTGGGAGGGGGAGAGGAGGAGGCGGAGGTAGCAGCAGCAGCGCTTGTGGCGCTAGGCAGCCATCTGGAGCGATTAAAGGTGGGAAAACTTCGCCTTCCTCTCCCCAAGTTTCCTCCCTTTCTCCCGTCCCCTCCCTTCTCCTCCCTTTCTCTCCAACTCCCCCTCGTTCCCTGCTTTCCGACTCAAAACCCGTCCGCTCCCCCTACTCCCTCCATTTCCCCTCCCCCTCCGCCCCTCGACCACCAACCAACCTGTGCATGTGTCAGTGGATCCCTGCAGCGCCCCCCTCTCTCTCTCCAGCTGCAGCGCCCCCCTCTCTCTCTCCCGCTGCAGCGCCCCCCTCTCTCTCTCCAGCTGCAGCGCCCCCCTCTCTCTCTCCCGCTGCAGCGCCCCCCTCTCTCTCTCCCGCTGCAGCGCCCCCCTCTCTCTCTCCCGCTGCAGCGCCCCCCTCTCTCTCTCCCGCTGCAGCGCCCCCCTCTCTCTCTCCCGCTGCACCGCCCCCCTCTCTCTCTCCCGCTGCAGCGCCCCCCTCTCCCCCCCTGCGCAACTGCCCCCTTCGCTCTTCCTTTTCATCCTGCAAACACCCCTTCGCCACTTCTACCCACTGGTCCCTCTCCTCCCCCTTCCCGTCTCCCCAATCAATCTGTGTGTGCAGCACCATTGGAGCCCTACAGTGTGCCCCTGACCCTCTTTGCTCTCCCTCCCCCCCCGCACCCCCCTCCAACCCCCTACTCCCCCACCAGTGGACCCCATCAGTGCTCGCCTTGCTCGCCCTGTGCCCCTTACTCTCCTTCCCTTCCCCTCTCTCCCCTCTTGCCACCCGCCCCTCCCCCACCAGTGGACCCCATCAGTGCTCGCCTCGCTCGCCCTGCGCCCCTACTCCGTCTTCTCGGGTTCGCTGCGTCTGGATGGGCAGACTCTCAGCAATTTGGAGCTGCTCAGCAACACGCACAACGGCAGCACACAGGGTGAGGCTTTAATGGTTCAGAAGGACTATTCTCCTCTCTATCGCTCTCTCCGGCCCCAACGGACGGGCAGACTCTCAGCAACCTGGAGCTGCTCGGCAACACGCACAACGGCAGCACGCAGGGTGAGCACTTAAGGCTTTAAGGTAACTTCTGAGAGAGTATGCACACCACTCTCTCAACCCTTGAATCGTCTCCAATCAACCACTTTGCGCCTCTCGATACCTTTGATAACCTAGCCTTTCTCACTCACCCTCCTCCCCTCCCCTCCTCCTCTCCTGCCCGCCTGCCTTCCTCACTCGCCCTCTTCACCATCCCCGAACGCACAGGCACTCTTCTCGGTTTTCTAGATACCTGTGCCACGTCAGCAGGCAAGCGCCTTCTCCGCCGTTGGATCTGCCACCCGCTGCGCTCCATCCGCGAGATCGAGCGCCGGCTGGACGCCGTCGATGAGCTGGCGGGCTCGTCGCTCGCCACGTCAGTGCTGTCATCCGCCACGTCAGCAGCACACGCACGGGGAGAAATCCGGGTGGCGATGAGGCGACTGCCGGATCTGGAGCGCCTGATTGGTCGAATGAGAGCCATGGGGGCACAGGCTAAAGGCGGGGGGGGAGGCGGGGGAGAGGAAGGGAATTGGGAGAGGGCCAGAGGAAGGGAGGACGGGAGAGGTGGAGAGGGAGGGAGAGGAGAGGTGGGAGGAGGGGAGGTGGAGTGGGGGGGTTTAAGGTCTGCTCTAGAGGCGCTGCTTGGACCAATGGCGGAACAACTGCTGAGGAAGCAGGTGAGGAAGCACAGTCATGAGAATGTTGGCTTGTGCAAGGTCCACCCTGCACTCGCTGGGGTGGGGTTTGGTTTGGGGAGGTGGAGTGGGGAGCTGCTTTAGAGGCGCTGTCTGGACCAATGGCGGAACAACTGCTGAGGAAGCAGGTGAAGAGGCACAATCATGTGAATGCTGGCTTGTGCAAAAACCACTCCACCCTGCACCTGCTGGGGTGAGTTTTGGGGAGGTGGAGTGGGGGGGGATTAAGGGCAGCTCTAGAGGCTCTGCCTGGACCAATGGCAGAGCAGCTGCAGAGAAAGCAGGTGAAAGCACTCACGATCACACCCACCCACCTTTGCTCGTCCAACTGCTTGTGGCGGTTCAAGCCTCATCCCCTCCGAACATCGTCTCTTCCTCTCCCAGGTCACTCAGTTCTGCTCTGCAGTGCGAGGGGTGCGTGCAGCGCTCCTCTTCCTCCACTCCCTCCGCAACAGAGCTCTGAGCCCCCTCGAGCTGTCCCATTCACCCCCCTCTTCTCTTCCCCTCCCAGGTCACTCAGTTCTGCTCTGCAGTGCGAGGGGTGCGTGCAGCGCTCCTCTTCCTCCACTCCCTCCGCAACAGAGCTCTGAGCCCCCTCGAGCTGTCCCATTCACCCCCCTCTTCTCTTCCCCTCCCAGGTCACTCAGTTCTGCTCTGCAGTGCGAGGGGTGCGTGCAGCGCTCCTCTTCCTCCACTCCCTCCGCAACAGAGCTCTGAGCCCCCTCGAGCTGTCCCATTCACCCCCCTCTTCTCTTCCCCTCCCAGGTCACTCAGTTCTGCTCTGCAGTGCGAGGGGTGCGTGCAGCGCTCCTCTTCCTCCACTCCCTCCGCAACAGAGCTCTGAGCCCCCTCGAGCTGTCCCATTCACCCCCCTCTTCTCTTCCCCTCCCAGGTCACTCAGTTCTGCTCTGCAGTGCGAGGGGTGCGTGCAGCGCTCCTCTTCCTCCACTCCCTCCTCAACAGAGCTCTGAGGCCCCTCAAAACTGTCCCATTCAACCCCCCCCCCTTCCCTTTCTCTCCTCTTCCCCTCCCAGGTCACCCAGTTCTGCACTGCAGTGCGGGGAGTGCGTGCAGCGCTCCTCTTCCTCGATTCCCTCCGCAACGGGTCGCTCACCGGGGAGCCCGTTGCCTTCCGCTCTGCCATCCTACGTGGCATCATGCGATTGGCTCCTGCTGCTGCTTCTGCTGACAGCAGAGAGGGCGGCCGGGAAGAGGAGGAAGAGGAGGAGGAGGAGGATGAGGGAGGAGGAGGAGGTGGAGGAGGAGGAGAAGGGGCAGGGGTGAGGAACAGCCACGTGAATAACGGTTACAGCAAACATGGTTGGGGAGATGAGAGGGGTCGTTCAAGCACGGTCCATCCTTCTCATTCAGGGGCAAGGACGAACGGCACGGAGGAGATGAGCGGTCGCCGTGCGCTGGCAGTTCTGGATGAGATAGAGCAGTTTATTCTGTGGCCGACCGCAGTCCAGGGGAAGGCAGGTGCCACTGGGAAGGGGAGAGGCAGCGGCGGGTCGAGAGGTGGCGGCGGTGGTGGCAGCAGCAACAGCAGCAGCAGCTGTCCTCGTCTGGTCTCCCCTGATGACAGTGTGATGAATCTAGTGACGAATGCCAAGAAGGCTGGGACAGGGAGCAGCAAGAACCAGAACAAAAGCAGCGGCAAGTTCAACAGCAGCAGCAACGGTAGCAGCCATCTGGGTGAAGCTGTGGCAGCAGAGGCGCGTATGCTCTCTGCTCTGCTGATGCGATTCTCCTCGCTCCTCCCCTTCTGCTCGCTCCTCTGCGACTCCCTCGCCCGCTTTGACATCCTCCTCGCCTTTGCTGATGTTTCTCAGACCGCCGCTGCTGGAGCTGCTGGCGGTGCTGGTGGTGGTGTTGGTGGTGCAGGGCCAATGTGTCGCCCCACGTTTGTGGCAGCAGGGAAGGGAAGCGGGTCAGGGGGAGGGAGCACGTTTCATGCGAGGGGCCTGTGGCACCCGTTTGCTGTGGGAGCCGGTGGTGGTGTTGTGGTTCCCAATGACGTGCTACTGGGGGGTTTGCCAGGCAGCTCCGTGGGAGCACGTTCTAGTGTCGCTGCTGCTGATGCTGATTCTGAGGGTGGTGCTGCTGGTGACGGTGCAGCAGCAGGAGTGCATGCGCGTACAATGTTGCTGACAGGGCCCAACATGGGGGGCAAGTCTACTCTGCTGCGAGCTACCTGCGTTGCTGTCATCATGGCTCAGGTGCTCTCAACGCTACTCTCAGGTGCTCTCAGCGCTACTCTCAGGTGCTCTCAACACTAGGTCCAGGTGCTCTCAACACTAGGTCCAGGTGCTCTCAACACTAGGTCCAGGTGCTCTCAACACTACGTCCAGGTGCTCTCAACACTAGCCCCAGGTGCTATCAACACTAGCCCCAGGTGCCCTCAACGCTAGTTTCAGGTGCTCTCACACTAGACGCGGTGCACTTAACACTAGTCCCAGGTGCTCTCAGTCCTAAGTGGACTCACGATTTTTGTCGTTCGAGTCGGCTCGCGATTTTTGTTATTTCAGTCGACTCATGAGTTTTTGCTTTTGAGACTCGTGATTTATGGCTTTTGAGTCCGCTCAAGAATCCCATTTCCCGCTGCCTACCTATTCTCAATCTCAACCGCGATCCCCTCCTCCTCCCTCCTTTCACCAGATGGGATGCTATGCGCCCTGCTCCTCCCTTGTTCTCTCCCCTGCTGACTTCATCTTCACAAGACTTGGGGCATCTGATCGAATCATCTCTGGGGAGAGTACGTGGTTCTCTCTTTTGGAAGGAGGAGGTGGGAAAGAGGATGAAGAGAGGAAGGGAACACCGTACATCGGACTGAGTTAATCTAAAGAGAGAGCGAGTGGACATATAGATGAACAGGATTAGGGCTGGAGGTTGGGGAGAGGGAGGTGGAAGTGCATTTCCCCAAACCCCTAAGCAATCTTGATAACATCTGTTATCAGTCTTGAGAAATGTGCTTTCCTGTTATCTTGGAGCCCCCCCCACCATTCCCTCTCATCTGCTCCGCCCTCCCCCCCGTGCCCCACCAGGTACGTTCATGGTGGAGTGCAGGGAGGCAGCAGCAGTGCTGCGGTGCGCCACAAAGGACTCCCTAGTCATTCTGGACGAGCTGGGCAGGGGCACGTCCACCTTCGATGGAGGAGTGCAGGGAGGTAGAAGCCTCCCTAAACCCTTACAAGTCACTTGTCTCCCCTGGTCCACTCCCCCCTCTTCCCCCGCTTCTCCTTCTTGCTCTTCCCCCCGCTTCCCCCCGTGCCCCACCAGGCACGTTCATCGTGGAGTGCAGGGAGGCAGCAGCAGTGCTGCGGTGTGCCACAAAGGGCTCTCTCGTCACACTGGACGAGCTGGGCAGGGGCACGTCCACCTTCGATGGAGGAGTGCAGGGAGGTAGAAGCCTCCCTAAACCCTTACAAGTCACTTGTCTCCCCTGGTCCACTCCCCCCTCTTCCCCCGCTTCTCCTTCTTGCTCTTCCCCCCGCTTCCCTCCGTGCCCCACCAGGTACGTTCATGGTGGAGTGCAGGGAGGCAGCAGCAGTGCTGCGGTGCGCCACAAAGGACTCCCTAGTCATTCTGGACGAGCTGGGCAGGGGCACGTCCACCTTCGATGGATACGCCATCGCACATGCTGTATGTGTTGTGGGTTTTCGAGCTCATTGCTCATTGCACATTGCACTGCTCTATGGAGCGTAGTGGATCCTATGCACAAAGCTTTGGTCCCATACATTCGGGCTGCTCTATGGGACTAGAGATTTGTGTGCAAAGCTTAGTCTCATGTTAACATCAGGGCTGACCATTGAATCCTATGAATATGGTCCGTTGTGAGCACCTTAATGCTTTCTTGTGTTATTCTCTCCAACAAGTATTTTGTTTTCTGACCTCTCACCTTGTTTGTTGGAACCCTGCTTTCCACTCTTCTATTGTTTCTTCTGCTGTTCCCCCACCAGGTATTGAACTACCTCACCTCGCGCCTTGATTGCCGGCTCCTATTCGCGACACACTACCATCCCCTCACCTCCGAGTTTGCGGGCCATCCACAAATCGCACTGCGACACATGGCATGCCAAGTGCAGGCACGCAAGGGCGGCGACGGGGAAGAGGACGAGGAGCTTGTCTTTTTGTACAAGTTGCAATCTGGTGCCTGTCCGAAGAGCTATGGATTGAAAGTAGCGTCTATGGCCGGAATTCCTTCTCGTGTGGTGGCCAATGCATCACGGGCAGCTTCGGCTCTTGAGCATGAGCTGAGTGATAAGTTTGACAATCCTGAGCCGCTTGCAGCAAGCACATTGCTTGATATGGAGCGGTCATGGGTGCAAACGCTGCAAGGGGTTGCGTCATTTGGTGCTTCTGGTGGCGGAGTTCCCGATGAGGATGCGGACGATATGTTTGAGACCCTTTATTGTATCTGGCACGAGGTTCGCCATAGTCACAATTCATGAATGTACTAAAGTCTTATCATGTTGAAGTATTCTATTCTGCTGTTTAAATTACAAAGATCGCATGACGATGTGAGGTTTTGTTTCGGCGGAGGCACACATAGCGCGTATCTGCAAATTCTTACTTCCCTCCCTGCTGCTCTCCCACGAAGGGGAAATTGCAGGCAGTAACAAGTCAGCACAACATGTCAGTCATGAGGTCACAGCAAACTTATCCTTACCCTGGCAGCAAACGTGTCGGTTTGCATGACACCTAGGTATACTACGGGCGCGAGGGTGGGTGACCACTGCGCTCCCCTTCTTTTCCTGGCTGCAAGTTAATGCCACTGCTAGTTCCGTCTGGCAACTGCTCTAACATGGAGCGTTATCGTCACGCTAAGAGCATGATGGCAGTGACTTCAGCAAAATCACCGGCGGGTGTAGAAAGGAATGCTGGGTGCTTATCAGGGCCCATATGCTTGAGCGTTTGTGAAGCACCTTATTTTCCAGGAGATTTGCCGGACTTGCGTAAATTCTGAAGGACATGGATTTCTTAGGGATCTTCCACTACAACTACCGACTTCTCGTCGGTTATTCCGAACCCGAGTCGTTTGAGTGGAATTCCCGGACCTACGCTTCCGTGATCTTGGTAGTCTTGGTAAGCTCCCTACGTCCTGTCACGAAAGAACCCGAACTTCTTCTATCATGGATCCATTCAGATCATCATGACTCGCCATGTCCGAGATTCTGATGATCACCTGCCTCGTGGGGTCGCGCAGTGCGCATCGCTTGCCAACTCAGCTGGCGTGGGAGGAGGGCCTTTTTACATGCCGCTGTTCCACTCGGTTCTCAAATTTAATCTTGTCAAGTCTACTGCCCTTTCGCATACCGTCGTGACATCGAGGTCAGGAATTATTACCTCTTTTTGTTTTTGTTTTTTTTCATTGATTGATTCTACTCTGAACCCTTTTCTATTTTGCGTTCAGTGCAATTGCTAGTACTCTCTCTGGACTATGGGAGTCAAGTCCTGAAGTTCCATCCATGCCATTGATTGACTTGAGACTTGCCCTGGCATTGCTACCGTCTCTCCTTTTTGGAGTTGGAATCGGGGTTCTTATCAGCCCAACTCTTCCTCACTGGATTCAGCTACTCGGGTTACTAATTTTGCTTATCTTTGTTGTACACAAGACATATTCACGAGCACAAAGGTCATGGAAGAAAGAGTCAGAATCAAGGGTGGGTAGCTACTGCAGGTTGAGCTGTCATGCGTGGCGAGAAGAGTTCTTGCCCTGAAGAGCATCCGATCATTGCACTTGCAGAGGGTTGCACATTCTGCTGCTGCCGAGGGACTCCTACCTGTGTCATTTGTGAACCCAAACGAATCGCGCCAGCAGCAAGTTACATTTGATATCCCAGAATCATGTGACGGAGCGGATTTCCTGTCAGTGGCTGGATGTGAAATTTCGCATTTCTTCAACCGCCGCTGGAAGTGGATGCAGAATTATTTTGTGGAGTCAGAAAATCAGCTTCTCTCTCACATTCACCAGGTGGCAATGCCATTTCTCTACACTCTCGGTATGTTCCACTCGTTTCCTCGAGTGCTTTTGAGATTCGCGAGAACCTCTTTATCAAATTCCACTCTCTTCCCTGTTTCTTTCATGCAGTTCTCTGGTCTCTTTTCATGGCTCTTCAGTGGGGTCTTAGTCAAGCTAGCCGCTGTTCCCCATCCTTCTTCCAGCTGTGGGGGTTGCAGCTATTTGTCTGCCTTGCTGCTGCAGTTAGCACTGTGCGAGGACAGGTAGGGCAGTGCAGGCCCTTGTGACATAGACTGCTGTGTTTCTTTCTCATGTCTCCACTTCATGACTTCTGGCTGTCGCACCGAGCTATCACTGCTTTCTTCCCTGCAGCTGCGCATGCATCCAACAACATTCAGGCCTACGTCTCTGAGCCCAAATCTTGTTCGGCTTTTCTCATCGAACTCCCGCATTTCCCGCTTTTTAAAGGTATTCAGACTTCTTGCTTATACATGCATCCATTTCCAGCGTGTGCATTCTTGATTGACACCGGAACTGTCATGTCAGATTTCGGTGATCATGGCATGTGCTGGTGCTATGGCTGGGATGGTGGGCATTGGAGGAGCGCTCATCTTCAACCCATATCTTCTTAGCCTTGGCCTTCACCCACAGGTGTTATCAATATTTGTCATATTTCAAATTGTGAACATGGGTTTGACAGTGGATAAGAAGCTGACTAAACTTCCATTCCGTGGGCATTGCAGATCTTGGCGTCGACAAGTGTTTTCATGATCCTCTTCAGCAGCAGTGCTATAAGCATCTCGCTCTTCTTCCATGGTTTTCTGGACACTAGCTATGCTTCTGTGTTCGCTCCAGTGGCATTCCTTGCATCGCTGGTTGGAGTATTCGTTGTCGGGAAAATTGTGAGAAACACAGGTATGTGTGTTTTTGGTTGAAAGCGTAGCTTTGGAAGTGGAACCACGCGATGCAGCATTATCTGATTACCGCCACTTTTTATGTGCAGGTCGTTCATCAATCATCATCTTCATTCTGGCCATCTTGATTGGACTAGGAGGAGTTGTGGTAACCGTCACCGAAGGTCCAACAGCATTCGACAAGTTAATTCATGGCCAAGACATGCAAATACGTCCTTTTTGCCCTGTTTGATGCTGAGGATAGATACCGTAGCCTAATTTAGGTTATGAGCAGGGCTCTTGCTAGGATTTGGGCCTGTCTGAAATCTTATAAAAAAAAAAAATCGCTTCGCCTGACGTTCAGACGGGCATATTTTTTTGGTCTGATGTTTCAGACGAATGTTGGAGAGCTGTCTGATTTTTCAGACGATTAATTTTGCATGGTCTGAACGAGTTTCTAAACGTTGGAGCTATGTCTCACTCTTTTGTTAAACGAGTTTCTGCATACGCCGCTGACGCGGCGAGCCTGCTGACAGTCGTGTGGCATGGCAAGGCAAAGGCGTGTGGCGAGAGGGACTGTCGGGGAGTTGGGCTGCATTGGCACGAGTGACTGCTTGATCTGTACAGTATTTGTTGATGCGAGGGATCGCGGGGGGAAAGGGGGGGGGGGGGGGGGGGAGGACTTGACGAGAAGGGGGCTGGGCTGGGCTGGAATTCACGAGGGATACAGTACGGGGAATGGGGTGGGGATGCGATGCGAAGTGGGCTAGACTGGGCTGGGAGAGGGGACCTGGGGTGGGGAGGAGGAAAAGCGCTGGACTGGGGCTGGGCTGGCAGAGTACACCTGGTCCGCGGTATTTTAACCGCGCGAAAATGGGTAGCAGGATTTTGGATTATCTGGCCATGGTGAAGATAAGGGTGCAAAATTCCGGTCATTATTTTCACCACCAAATATCTGAACAGCATGGAAAGTTTTGACAGCACTACTCAAAAGGAGCAATTCGGCTCTTTTCGCCATCTGGAATGTTCCAGAGTCGGGAAAGTAAAACCATCGACGGTGACGATTCTTTTTGGAAAATTCGGATGGGGAAATTCGCTTGCCACTGTTGAATTATATTGCATACCCTAACTGCCTACAGCTTGCTAGTGTATTAGTTAGTTATTAGGTTCAACTGCTGGTGGTGTACCCTATCCTCTCCCCTATCCTATATCTTGTAAACATTCCTTAGTGAATCCCCTCTTTGCCCAATTCTCTTGCCATGCTCACTCTCGACACTCACGCTTCCTAGGTAAACCCTAAGTTACTAAGTCAAGAGTTAAGAGCGTGTTCTGACAGCCACGTGGACGGCGCCAGCTGAAATATCAAAAAGAGGCTTGGCAATCTACAACTTGGTTCGGTCAAGTGTGAACAGCGATTTCTGGCCACCCAACAAGAAACGCCCAGCGTGCCGACAAACTTGGTTACGATACCGGCGGTTAAAATACCGCGGACCAGGTGTAGCAAAGGACTCGAGTGGGATGGGGAGAAGTGAAGGTGGAGGGGAGTGGGGAAAGGGGGGTGCCGGTGTCAGACGGAAATATACGCCCAGTCTGAAATCTCAGACTAACTATAACGCTTGCTCTGAAAATCCAGACGAACTAAAATTCATGGTCTTACTGATCAGACGAAATAAAAATCACTGTGTTAAAAATCAGATGAAAGCAAAAATGGAGGTCTGAAAATCATACCATCAGACCGATTTGGTCTGATAACCAGATCCCTGGTTATGAGTCTTGTTGTTTTGTGCATCCGATTGCTGGTTGGGCTGTATTGAAATGTTGCATGGGATGCAGCTGAGATCAATGAGAACCATTTCCTAATATCAATGAGAGCCTATGTCCAGGTAAAGCTATAATAGAGATAGGGTTTGAATACATGTATACTCATATCACGGGTGCATTTCACTCCAAACCAACCTAGGACTCGTTCCATCACAGCTGCCCCACCACCAGTAAGTTATGGTACACTGTACACCTTCCGTCGTGCAGCCGCAAAAAGGGGCTTCCTTTTGAGGTTGGGGCAACGCGAGGTTGGGCAGCGCGAGGTTGGGCAACGCGAGGTTGGGGTAACGCGAGGTTGGGCAACGCGAGGTTGGGGCAACGCGAGGCTGGGCAAGCGAGTTTGGGGCAAGGCGAGTTTGGGGCAAGGCGAGTTTGCGCCATTCGAGGTTGGGGCAACGCGAGGTTGGGCAACGCGAGGTTGGGGCAAGGCCGAGTTTGGTTGGACCACGCGAGGTTCGGCAACGTGCGCCCACAATACCCGTCTCTATCAGGCACCGCGCCAGCCACTCTCCAGACCACCTGTCTCTTACCGTTCGCACTGTGTGCGTGCGTTCCTCCAGTTGATCATGACTGTATCCAGTCGAGAAATTTGTCGGCAGATGATTCGTGGACAGAGAAGAAAGTAGTGGTTTGGGAAGGACAGCCTCCCAAGAACGGCTCTCTGCTGCTACACAACGCAACCCGCATCCTGATCAATCACTAGCAGAAAGCTGCACGAGTCGCTTTAGCGAAATAGCGAGTGGAAGGTTTTCCCTCGACGTGTTTATTTCATTTGTTTCAGCGTTTCGTGGCCCAAGACCAGTGCGTTACGATGTCTGTCGATTCACCTACCGCTCACGAGCTTGACCTAAAACGCAAATTCGCGGAGATTCCAAACCGTTATGACTTGGATTCTCCAACCAAGCGCCTTCGCGGCGTGCGGCAGCGCTCGTGGGGCAAGTGGGTGTGCGAGATCCGCGAGCCGCGCACGCGCGCGCGCGTGTGGCTGGGATCGTACAGCACCGCGGAGGAGGCCGCGCGCGTCTACGACACCGCCGCGCTCATGCTGCACGGCGCGCGCGGCGCGGAGCGCCGACTCAACTTTCCCGAGGCTCTTCAAGCGGACGGGGGAATCCGCCCCGTTATAGTGTCGCGCACTATAGCGGAAGGTCTGCTCCGCGTCGTCAATGCTCTGACTCTTTCGCAGCAGTCACCATCCAAACAAGACAATTCGAGCAATCCATCTTGTTCTAATGATATGATTCTCGATGCGTCCACCTCTGCTGCGGGGTCCAGTGCCAGCCGCCCTACCGGTGCTACCGCATCTGTCCCCACGGTTCACGCTAGCCCCACCTTTACCGGCGAGTGGGTGCGGCTCGAGGTTACCGGCTCCAACGTGGTCTTCTCCGATTGCGCGCACCCGGAGATCGCCACCACCGCGATTCCCGCCGCCGGTCGCGGCGGCGTCTTTCCAGATGCGTCGTCCGTCAAATCCCCGACGGCGAACGGCCAGATCTCGCCGAAACGTGCCGCCGCCGCTCCGAATGCCGCCACCCCCGCCGATCCAAGCGCCGGCGCCGGCACGTCTGGCATTGCGTCAGCAGCCGCGTCGCGAGTTGCCTCGGAGATGGATTTCGTCAGCAGCCGCGTCGCGGCGCCTGCAGGTTCATTTTCCGCTGCCCTCTCGCTCTTCTCCGACGCGCCTTCCACCTTTTCCCCCGGTCCCCCCGTAATCGTCCCCTCCCGCCGTTCCTCCGCCCTATCTCTCCCCGGAAGCCCTATGAGCGGAATGGGGCACAGCCCGTCGCGCTTCCGCTCACCCTCCCGCTCGCCGCTGCTCTCCCCGCAGTTCCCCGGCCCGTCGTTCGGCGGCTCCCGCCCCTTCCCCGCAACCACTGCCCCTTCCTCCCCGCGCGCGATTAGCGCCTCCGCTTCTTCCGCACTCTCCGCGTTCGCGCTTCCGCCAGCGTCGTCGGTCGCCGCTCCCGCCAGCGCGGCGGAGCTCTCGCGCGCGCTGCTCGCGCACCCCACCTTCGCGCACCTCTGCGCGCCTTCCGCCCAGCCCGCTGAGACCCTCACTGCGGATCAGATCCCGGTTTCCACTGCAGATCAGATTGCCACTGCCAATCCCGCCATAGACTTTCCTCCCCCTACTGCCACAGCTGCTACCAACTCTGCTCCAATCGCTGCTACTCTTGCCGCTCCCCCCAGTGCTCCCAGCGGCAATTGTGCAGTTCAAATTCCAGACAGCAATTTCACAAGCTACGCCTCTTTTGCTCCGTTTCTCACTGATCTGGGACAGGAGGACAGCGATATTGTTAACAGCAGATCTAGTATCGCGGATAGCAGCAGCATGGACACGTCATCCCCTACTGCTAAGGGAGGGCCCTTGCAGCAGCCCCCAACCGTCTCCCCCCAGGCTCCTCTCGACCTTCCCAGTTTTTCCTCTCAACCGCTTCTCAACCTGCCCAGCTTTTCCAAGGCAGCGCCGGACCAAACGGGCTCCCTGCCTCGACTGCCGAGCCTGCCGGGGGAGTTCCCGTCGCTGCCGAGCCTGCCGGCAGAGTTCCCAACGCTGCCGAGTTTAGATTGGAACGAGATTGAAGAGTGTCTGGGGAAGCCAGAGGGATCAGTGCTCACTACCTGACAGCCTGTGCCTGACAGCCCGTGCCTGACAGCCCGTGCCTGACAGCCCGTGCCTGACAGCCCGTGCCTGACAGCCAATGACTGACAGCCCGTGCCTGACAGCCTGTGCCTGACAGGCATCCCATGCCTGGGGGTCATGCAAAGGATGTGGTCCTGATAAACTTTGTCTGGAAGATGTAAAAACAAAATTGTCAATATTTATGGTTGGCTGCACACTTAGTGCGTGTTCCTTCGCCTCTACCAGGCTCACCTCTAGTCAGACTTGTGCAATTCAGTGCGTTTCATTGCAATAAAAATTGATTACGGGTGGTCCAGTGCGGTGCAACACGAACGAGTCTGACAAGAGCTTTGCATGGTAAGAGGCCGTAGGAACACGCCTTTAGTACTACAGAAGCTTCCATTCAATATCACATTTGTACTCAGCCAGAATGATTTCATTAATGCATGGTCAATTGTGCATGCTTTTTAGGTTTGTATGATGCCATCTTGCCACTAGTATAGATTCTGAAAACTGTCAGACAACTCAGGAAGTCAGGGAATCTGTCCCAGATGTAGCTTATTTACCTGGAAGTGGTTCAGATTCTTTCATCAAAACCTTTTTCCGCTTTGAAAGAAAATCATAAATCGTGATTATGCTTTGAAGAAACTCACAAGCAGATATACTAATTATACATGCAGGAATATATATAGCAAGGCACAGCAGAGGCATTTAGGAACGCACAGGAAGAGACAGACCCAGGGTATGAGGCAGTGCGCATTGAAAGAATACGAGCAGGGTCAGGATCAGGCAGGTGTCCTTTACATCTTCAGGAGGGAGATGGGTTGAGTTGAAACAAGAGAACTCGAGCACATCTTCAGGTTGACACACGAGAATTCGTCTCGAGCTCGTCAGGAGGTTGGCTTTCGGGAAGAAAGACAATCATCATGAGGACCTGTGGGGCACACTTAATTAAAAACGGTGCTTAGGGCCTTCATGATGGCTGGCTTCCCCGAGTGCAGCCGATTGCAGGGTAGAGGAGGATGAGGATAGGACCAAGAAGTTTCCAGAGGTTGAGATCGCAGGAAAGGGTGTCAGGAATTCCAGGAAGGAGGGTAAGAGGGTGGGACGGTATCGAGGATACTGAGAGAACTGAGGGTATTCAGGGTGTAGATAAGGTGGGGGGTCTTGATAGAGTTGGAGACGAAGGGAGAATGGGACGAGAGCAAGCGAAACTGGTGACCGAGTTTCGCCAGCTCTCGCTGATCACAGCTGCTGCTTTTACTGCTGCATCTGCGCCTGCTGCTGCTGCATCAAGCGCAGCTGATGCTCCTTCTGCAGATGCTGCAGCACGGCCGTGATGCTCGTCAGCTCGCGCACCAGCGACACCAGCACGTCCGCGCGCTGCCGCTGCTGCGCGTTCCCCGCGGAGCCCGCGGAGACGGCGTCGGAAGCCGCGCCGACGGCGACGTCGTTACTGACGGACGCGGAGCGCGACAAGCTGCCGTACGAGGAAGACGGCGACAAGGGCGCGTCGACAGGTGCGGGGAACACCGGCGGAAACGTCGGCGGGGAAGGCACGAATTGAATCCCCTCATCATCGACCGGGAAAAACGGGACGGGGCTCTCGAGCGCGGCGGCCGACTCCGACTCCCAGGCGAAGGCGGAGTTGCGGGAGGGGGAAGCGGAAACCGAAGCGGAGGGGGAAGCGGAGGCGGAAGCGGAAGCGGAGCCGAAGAGCTCTTCGTCGGACAGATTCCAGGCGTCCTCGAAGAGAGTCGACTCGGACTTCTCGATTTCGGGCCAGTCGAGCTCTGGGAGCTCCAGAATAGAGCTGCTGTCGTTGTCGCTGCTGAAGCACGCGACGCCTGCGACGTCGGCGGCACTTGTGAACGATGCGACGGGAAGGTTGTCGGCGGGGACAGGAGAAGGTGAGGGATTCGCAGCAGGCGCGGGGGCGACAGCGGGGACCGACGGCGCAACGGCGGGAGCTGGAGCGATGGGGGTGAAGGGGAGGAGCCCGGGCGCGGGGCACTCTGCAAAGAGGACGTTACCGCCCGCGATTTCCAGCTGCACCCACTCGCTGTTGAACGTCTTCGCGTCGGCTTCCGCTGCCGCTGACTCCGCGCCGTTCGCGGACGCAGCGAGATTGCGCGCCGCGCGGAGGAGAGACTCGGCCGTTGCGCGGGAGACCACGACGGGGCGCATGCGGATTCCCCCCTCGATGGAGGTCGCCGCGGCGTGGGGGAAGTTCAGCCGGCGCTCCGCGCCGTGCGCGCCGTGCAGCATGAGCGCAGCGGTGTCGTAGACGCGCGCGGCCTCCTCCGCCGAGCTGTACGATCCCAGCCAGACGCGCGCGCGCGTGCGCGGCTCGCGGATCTCGCACACCCACTTGCCCCATGAGCGCTGACGCACGCCGCGGTAGCGCTTGGCGGAGGGCTGGTTGGGGTGCTCGTTCTGAGACGAAGCGCCAGCGTCGGCGGCGACGGCGGAGGAAGAGAAGAAGCCCGTGAGGGAGGTTGAGTCGGAGGATAGGCAGGGAGGGAGAGCAGCAGCATTAGAGGGGGAGAGGCAAGACGTTTGGGACGCCTTGCGCTTGAGAGGGTTTGAAGAAAGAAGACCAGAAATTGTGTTGGCCATTTTTAGAGTGAGACGCCCTTGTTGGGTTAGACGTGTTCCGTGCTCTCGATTTGCGAATTCTTGCGTTCGCTGCTGCTTGCTGCTCTCGATCCCTGCCGATCCTTGCTCGAAGAAACGAGACGGGTCAAATGATGACGATGACTGACTTGCTAACTTCGATGATTGATGAGGAAAGAGGATCGAAGATAAATGGGGCGGTGGAAGTTCGGTGGGGCGTGGGTTTCGATTCGGTTGAAGGCGGAGGAAGTACAGGGGAGCGGAAGGAAGTTTGGGAGGGGGGAATGGGGTGTCAGGGAAGGGGGAAGGCTGGTGAGGCGGGAAAGGACACGCGGTAAAGGATCTCTTTCCCCTCAACTTCGGATACGCGGAGATGGGAGATTGCCCGCGGAAAATGAGTGACAGGAGGGAGTGAACGAGCCACGTCCACATGAAGGGCAAACGCGGTTTGCTGGAGATTCAAGAGTACCTGCGACGCGGAATCGGGCTGCCCAGGGCTGGGCTTGCTCCTCCTGCCCAAGCTTGGCTTGATTTTGCTGCGCAGGGCTGGGCTTGGCCGGGTTGGACTTGGCTTGGTTTGGAGCGGACGCCGCGGGTGCGAGGAAGGAGTGACCGGGGCGGATGGTAGGCACCGACCACGCGGATGCAACAGTACACAGTACCGCGTGCACTGTTCATGCCGCGGTCTTTGCCTCTGTCAAGTTGACGTGAAGAACGTAAAACGCCAAATAAGCACAGTGACGTATCTAGCAACCTGTGTGGAGATCTTTTAGCAGCCGTCAGAAATGCCTGTTGCGAACGTCAAGTTTGACGCCAGATGGCTGAGTATCAGCTGCGAAGTGGTTACCTTAGGTGCGCGAGAGGTTGTTCAGCAAGTTGCGACCTGAAACGTCCTTCCAGCCACAGCAAGTGCAGCGCCGACAGCCGGACAGCGACGGAACAGTTCCACCGACACTACGTGTCAACTGGCACTGTGGGAAGAAGATGACCTGTCAGACCTGCTGTCAAATATCACTTCCATTGCCAGCAAGGCCCGAGCAGCCAACCGCGTGACCGAGCAGTCCAGCAGGCCGGGTGACAGACAGTGCCTGTCAAATTGAAACTGGCGGAAGGAATGCGGGCAGGGGAGTGCACCTCAAAACTACACGACATTGTAACGGCATTCTAGCAGGACAACGGGTGACTTGACATACATACTCGTTTGTGGGCCTCTGTTAGTAGGGCAATCTCATAAAATCAATATGTTTGTGAAGCTAAGCTTTGGCTTCAACTACCACCCAAACTGGCTAACAAGGATCTCACTTGTGCTCCTACAAAAGAGGTAACCGTAGCCTACATACTAATATAAGCGGCTTTATGTAACTCTACTGTTTATGTGCGGCCATTACGATACCACCGCCACGACTGCAACCGAAGCTTCACAATAAGCAAAGCAAGCAGGCGGAAGAAGATTAGCATAGCGACGAGAATGCTCGCCTCCAACCACCCATTCCCTGGTGACGGGTTCTTTATACCCGATAGCTCCAGAGTAGCTGCACACGAGCACGTGTTGGCAGTGGCAGTCGAGTTGCTGCTCATATCCCCGTTAGAAGGTGGTGTGGTACAGTTGCCAGTGTAGTATTCAGCGGAATCAAAGTTGATGCGCATTAGCAACTGGCAAAGTGGGGAAATTTGGTGAGAATGGGATGCGCACGGGAGAGGGAGGGGGGAGAAAATGGGTGGACATGAGTGAGTGTGCAAGAGCAAAGATGTACCTAGGGATGTAACAAAGGATGTAGTGTACCCAGGAATGTAGCCAAGGATGTAGCCACGGATATGGCCAAGGATGTAGCCACGGATATGGCCAAGGATGTAGCCACGGATATGGCCAAGGATGTAGCCACGGATATGGCCAAGGATGTAGCCACGGATATGGCCAAGGATGTAGCCACGGATATGGCCAAGGATGTAGCAAAGGCAGAGAAGTGAGTGAAAGTGTGGGAGGAGATATACATGCTGTGGCTGAATGCAAGTATGTCGTAAGTGTAATTACTCATGCTATCGACGTGCATTTGTACGATAATCATAAGGACTTACCTTATTGATGTAGGTCGAGAAGGAGAGGTACTGCGTCCATCCCACCCAGTCGGGGGGACTAAGAGACAAAAAATGCACGACCATCACGGACAGCAGCTGCAGGATCGCCGCTATCGAGATCCCCTGTTTCACTGTAGACGATGCCGTGCCGACCGCCATCCCTATGGACGAAGCCACCATCGTATCTAGCACCAGGACGAGCGTGAATAAGACGAACCGGCCGCCCGACGGGTTCAGCCCGGTCATCCAGTAGACGATGCAGCTGTAGAAGACGGGCGGCAGGATCTCGTACGGCAGGCTGAGGAGCGTGCGGGCGGCGTAGTACGCGGAGATATGATACACACCGTCCTCTTGCTCTTTTTGGACTGACTTGCGGTCTTCCATAAAGGTGATGACAGAGGTGAGCATGGGCACGAGTCCCCAGAAGAACTGGGAGAAGAAAATCAGCCCTGCGAGATCCCTCACGCCCTGCGCTGTGGTGGGGTCTCGTTTGTACCACAGACAGCCTGGTGTGGGTGGGATGGAAAGGTTGGAGGGGGGAAGGTGATGAGGAAGGTGATGAGGAAGGTGATGAGGAAGGTGATGAGGAAGGTGATGAGGAAGGTGATGAGGAAGGTGATGAGATGAGGGAGGTGAGCATGGGCACGAGTCCCCAGAAGAACTGCGAGAAGAAGATTAAACCTGCCAGGTCCCGAACCCCTTGCGCTGTGGTGGGGTCTCGCTTGTACCACAGACAGCCTGGTGTGGGCGAGGGAGATGGGAAGGTTGGAGGGGGGAAGGTGATGAGGAAGGTGATGAGGAAGGTGATGGGGGAGGTGAGCATGGGCACGAGCCCCCAGAAGAACTGCGAGAAGAAGATCAGCCCTGCCAGGTCGCGCACTCCCTGTGCTGTGGTGGGATCGCACTTGTACCACAGACATCCTGGGGTGAGTGGGGGGTTGGGGGGTTGGGAAGGGTGGGAGGATGACGGGATGGTTGGGATGGGTTGGATGGGGTGGATGGGGTGGATGGGGTGGATGGGGGGAAGGAGTGTGATGGAGGGTTGTGGGGAGGAAGGTGATGAGAGAGGTGAGCATGGGCACGAGCACCCAGAAGAACTGTGAGAAGAAGATTAAACCTGGGATGGGGTGGATGGGGTGGATGGGGTGGATGGGGTGGATGGGGGGAAGGAGTGTGATGGAGGGTTGTGGGGAGGAAGGTGATGAGGGAGGTGAGCATGGGCACGAGCACCCAGAAGAACTGTGAGAAGAAGATGGAGCAGACGAGGAGACTGACAGCCAGTCCCATTTCAACACGCGGTATGACAGCACATGCCAAGGTGACTAATGAGTCGATTCGACCTTCCTCTTATACACTCACCCGGCAGTAAGGAGCACAGGACAAGGCTCGCAGCCACGACACCCACGAAGATCCAGTCCTGATTCACCACGCGGTATGACAGCACGTGCCGCCACGCCAGCACCCAGAACTGGTAGCCCCATGACGTCACCCACCTCTTCCCACTCCCCGCTCCTCCCACTCCCCCTCCTCCCCCACCCGCTCCTCCCCCTCCTCCTCCCCCTTCACTCATCACCCGCCAGTCTGTAGTTGCATCTACATCCCTCACTCGTGTTCCCACTCCCCCTTCCACCCCCCCTTCCTCTCCCCCTCCCGTCCCCTCTCCCGCTGCCTCCCCTTCCTCAACATCCCCATTCCCAGCCTCTTTCCCCGCGCGTCTTTTAGCAGAGGCAGCCCCAGAGGGCATGGCAGCGCGTTCTATCTCCCTGGCGGCGTCCCCAGTGGCCCACAGGCGGATGAGGTTGGTGGACGTGCCGAAATGGATCGAGGCGTCTGCTGCTTCGGGAGCTGTGAGGTCCTGTTGGGAGAGAGAGAAGAGGGAGAAGGTAGAGAGAGAGGGAGTGGGAGCAAGCACTCAGGGGTTCTACCTCCCTGCCATTTCCCGCGTTCCATCTCCCTGGCGGCGTCCCCAGCGGCCCACAGGCGGATGAGGTTGGTGGACGTGCCGAAATGGATCGAGGCGTCTGCTGCTTCGGGGGCTGTCAGGTCCTGTGGTGGGGTGGGGGGGGGAGAAGAGTGGACAGGAAGAGAGCTTATCTCCCTGCCCCTGTCTCGCGCTCTATCTCCCTGGCGGCGTCCCCAGTGGCCCACAGGCGGATGAGGTTGGTGGACGTGCCGAAATGGATCGATGCGTCTGCTGCTTCAGGGGCCGTCAGGTCCTGAAAAGATGGGAAGGAAAAAGGGTGAGCGGAATGGTACGGGGGGGTCAAATGATAAGGGGGGGTAAAAGAATAGGGGAGAGCAGCAGGAGATGAGGGGACTTTTGAGGCGCCTCACTTTTGAGGCGCCTCAAAAGTCGTTTTGAGGCGCCTCAAAAGTCGGGATGAGCGGAATGGTACAGGGGGGTCAAATGATAAGGCGGGGTAAAAGAATAGGGGAGAGCGGCAGCAGGAGATGGCAGTGAGCAGAGCAGTGTGGGCAGAATCTGTTTTTTTAGAATTCTCGATAAACAGATTCAGCCTGACACAACCAGGCAGTGAGCAGAGCAGTGTGGGCAGGGGGGCTCACCAGGAAGAACTCTGCAGCGTTGGTGTGTGGGAGCATGGTGTAGCCGATAGAGTCGAAATAGGGGAGAGCGGCGTGTGCCGGGAAGGGAAGAGAAGGAGATGCAGCGAGGGAGAGGGGGAGGGAGGAGAAGGGAGGGTATAGGAGCAGGGAGGGCATGGACACTCACCAGGAAGAACTAGGCCGCGCTAGTGTCAGGAGCCATGGTGTAGCTGATAGAGTCGAAACAGGGGAGAGCGTGAGGTGATGAGGGAACCTCAGAGAGACAGTGATGCTAGTGGGGCACGCAGAGCAGTGTGGGCAGCGGGACTCACCAGGAAGAACTCTGGAGCGTTGGTGTGTGGGACCATAGTGTAGCCGATAGAGTCGAAATAGTGGAGAGCGGCGTGAACCGGGAAGGGAAGAGAAGGAGATGCAGCGAGGGAGAGGGTGGGGGAGGAGAAGGAGGAGAAGGGAGGGGTATAGGATCAGGGAGGGCAGGGGGACTCACCAGGAAGAACTCGGCGGCGCTGGTGTCAGGAGCCATGGTGTATCCGATAGAGTCGAAATAGGGGAGACGAGAGATGGGGGCACAGCACAACTCAGAGAGACGGTGGTGCTAGTAGGGCAGCGGGACCCACCAGGAAGAACTCTGCAGCACTGGTGTCAGGAGGCATGATGTATCCGATGGAGTCGAAATAGGGGAGCGCGGCATCCGCCGCGCCGAAGTAGATGGGGTTGCCATCGGTGATGAGCAGCAGGTGCGTGAAGAGAGAGAAGTGCGAGGTGAAGAGCGACCAGATAGCCAAGAGGGGAATGATGAGTCGCACTTGCACGCACTCACCAGGAAGAATTCTGCGGCACTGGTGTCGGGAGCCATAATGTATCCAATGGAGTCGAAATAGGGCAGAGCGGCATCAGCCGCGCCGAAGTAGATGGGGTTGCCATCGGTGATGAGAAGCAGGTGCGTGAAGAGAGAGAACATCTTGGATGAGGGCTGCTTCATCGTTGCTACCACTGATCTTCCCGCAAGAGCGTACGAGTGGAGTGCTCTTGTGATGCGCAGAGCCATGGCACCGTCAAGCCTGGGATGGGGGACAAATGCGGCGGGGGAATGTGATGATGGGAAGGGGAATGAGGGGGACGATGAGGAAGAGGAGAGAACGAATGCCATGGGTGATAAGGAGGTGCGTGAAGAGAGAGAACATCTTGGAGGACGGCTGCTTCATTGTTGCCACCACGGACCGGCCTGCTAGGGCGTAGGAGTGCAGGGCTCTGGTGATGCGGAGGGCCATGGCCCCGTCGAGACTGGGGTGGGGGGAGAAGGGGAAGGGAGCGGAAAGTGGGAGAAGAGGGGAGCGAGGGAGGTGCGTGAAGAGGGAGAACATCTTGGAGGAGGGCTGCTTCATTGTTGCCACCACGGACCGGCCTGTTAGAGCGTAAGAATGCAGGGCTCTTGTGATGCGCAGAGCCATGGCACCGTCCAGCCTGGTAACAGGGGATCCAGGGGGAAGGGGAGGGGGCAGGTTAAAGACTGCTAGCGCGTAGGAGTGCAGGGCTCTGGTGATGCGCTGCGCAGAGCCATGGCCCCGTCCAGCCTGAGAGCGGAAGGGGAGAGGAGGAGAGGGGGAGAGGGGGATTGGGGAAAGGGGAGGGGAGATGAGGAAGATGGGGCGGGCAGAGCAGCATGAGGTGCAGGGAGAGGGAAGCAGATGGGGTTGCCATGGGTGATGAGGAGGAGGTGTGTGAAGAGAGAGAACACATTGGCTGATGGCTGCTTTGCTGTTGCTACCACTGATCGCCCTGCTGGATCATCCGCACAATGATGGCCAGCACACATACACCACCCCGCATATGACAACGATGACAGTGCAACATTGACAGTGCAACATTGACAGTGCAACATTGACAGTGAAACGATATCTCCCCCCACTACTCACCCAGAGGTCGGTTCGTCCAGCAGCAGCAGCGGCGGGTTGACGATCATCTGCACCCCGATGGCCAGGCGCCTGAGACACACACCCCCACCCTAACAAGCCAGGTGTAACCCAAAGCCTACCCCGAAGTAGGTTCATCCAGCAGCAGCAGCGGCGGGTTGACGATCATCTGCACCCCGATGGCCAGCCGCCTGAGCTCGTTATACAGCACCGAGTTGCGCCCTGTGCGCCCTATCACCTTGTCCGCACAGCTGAGGGAAATAAAGCGGCAGGGGAAGGGAGAGGGGCAGCGGCAGGGGCAGGGGCAGGGGCAGGGGGAGGGGGAGCGGGAGGGGAAGGGGGGGCATGGTGCCTGAGCTCGTTATACAGCACTGCATTGCGCCCCGTGCGCCCTATCACCTTATCTGCGCAGCTGGGGGTGTCATTAAAGGAAGGGGGAGGAAGTGGAAGGAGGAGGGTGTGCGGAAAAGGATGGAAGTATGGGGGGTCATGGGAATGTGGGGGGAAGAATAAGACATTCGCACCACCACCTGAGCTCGTTATACAGCACTGAATTGCGCCCTGTGCGCCCTATCACCTTTTCCGCACAGCTGGGGTGGGGGGGGGGGGGGCGGTGGGGGGGAGAAATGGGTTGCATTGCCTGAGCTAGCCATACAGCACTGCATTGAGCCGCGTGCCCTGCCCCCATTCCATCTGAGCCTCATTGAAGTTACTATCTCTGAGGAAGCCCATGCGCGCAACAACCACCTGCTCACACATCCACCCACACGCAGAGGGGCGGTGGGAGGGGGGACAGGGGCTGTATTGCCTGAGCTAGCCATAGAGCACTGCATTGAGCCGCGTGCCCCCATTCCATCTGAGCTACATGTAAATTACTATCTCTGAGGAACCCCTTTTGAGAATTCTCAAAAGTATCACACAACCACCACGTGCTCTGCTCACACATCCACCACGTGCTCTGCTCACACATCCACCCATACGCACACCCACCCTCCCACCCAGCCGTTCACACAATCACCACCCACCACTCACCCACTCACCCACCCACCCATCATTAAACCCATGCACCCTCCCCGCACTCAGTGTGAGCTCCAGTGAATCAAGCACATGCTCCACTCGCACTATCTGATCTACCTCCTCCGCGCCCCTCACTGCACACCCGTGCAGGCAACAACTCCCCCTCTCCCCCTCCCTGCACTCACTGGGTGAGCTCCAGCGAGTCCAGCACGTGCTCTACTCGCATTATCTGGTCAATCCCCTCCGTGCCCTCGCTGCACCCTTGAGGCTTGACCACCGACAACACCACCCGTACACCCAATCACCTCCCATCCACCCACCAATCCACCCAGCACTCACTGTGTGAGCTCCAGCGAATCAAGCACATGCTCCACTCGCACTATCTGATCTATCTCCTCCGCACCCTCACTGCACCCCCTGGTGCCCCCCTGGTGCAGGCAACAACCCCCCCCCCCCCCCCCCCCCCCCCCCCTCTCTCCCTCTCAGCACTCACTGAGTGAGCTCCAGCGAATCAAGCACATGCTCCACTCGCACTATCTGATCTATCTCCTCCGCGCCCTCACTGCACCCCCTGGTGCCCCCCTGGTGCAGGCAACAACCCCCCCCCCCCCCCCCTCTCTCCCTCTCAGCACTCACTGAGTGAGCTCCAGTGAATCAAGCACATGCTCCACTCGCACTATCTGATCGATCTCCTCCGTGCCCTCTGGCAGGCGCAGCATGGCCGCGAACATGAGCGTCTCTTTCACCTGGGGAGGGGTTGGGGTTGGGGGGGTGGGTGTGGAAGGGTGGGGGGGCCGGTTAGCTCCCTTGTGTGCTCTCCTCCGTGCCCTCTGGCAGCCGCAGCATGGCCGCAAACATGAGCGTCTCTTTCACCTGGTGGGGGGCGGAGGGTTGGGGTTTGTGGGGGGGGGAGTGGGAGAGGTTGGGGAGAGGAGGAGGTTAGCACACTGATTCTCGACTCTCCTCCGTGCCCTCTGGCAGGCGCAGCATGGCCGCAAACATGAGCGTCTCCTTCACCTGCAGAGGGGTGAGCGGAGGGTAAGGGGTGGTGGGGGGCGGAAGTATAAGGGGAGAGGGGGTGGGAGGGTGGGGGAAGAGGAGGCGAGCCTGTCACTTGAATCTCCTCCGTGCCCTCTGGCAGGCGCAGCATGGCTGCGAACATGAGCGTCTCCTTCACCTGTCGGGGATGGTTGGGGGAGGGAAGGAGCGGGGAAGGTAGAGAAAGGAGGAGGTTAGCACACTGATTCTCGATTCTCCTCCGTGCCCTCTGGCAGGCGCAGCATGGCCGCAAACATGAGCGTCTCCTTCACCTACCATGGGGGGTGGGTGGGGAAGGAAAGGGAGCGGGAGAGGTTGAGGAAAGGAGGAGGTGAGAACATGAGCATCTCTTTCACCTGTGGATGGGAGGTGGTGGGGGAGGTGGGTTGCACGAAACGGGAGAGGGACAACGAGGAGGGATGGAGGGTGGATAAGGGGGGGAAGAGGGAGTGAGGAATGGGGATGGTTATACAAAGGACAGGAACCAGGAGAATGCAGAGTAGAACGAGTTAGCTCTGCTGGATCTGGGTCGAAACTATCTTCTCATGCTACAGGAGAATGCAGAGTAGTATTTGGGTCTTGGCTCACCGTCAGACCACCCTACCAGCCAACCCCGACCGTCAGATCGCCTTGCTGACAAGCACGCACCCGTCAAATCACCCGCCAATCCAACCCTCACCGTCCGATCACCCATCCAAATGAATCCTCACCGTGAGGTTGGCCTGCAGGTCCACGTCGTTCTCCACGAACCCAATCTCGCGCCTCAGAGTCGCTCCAGTCCACCCTACTGGTCAATGACCACCGTCAGATCACCCTGCAAGCCATGGACTAGTAGTAGCTTTGGCTCCTCTATTTGCAAATCCTTTTGTATAGTTCTATACCCACCGTCAGATTACCTTGGCACTCAATCCCCACCGTCAGATCAGCCAACTGGTCAATCCTCACCGTGAGATTGGCCTGCAGGTCCACATCATTCTCCACGAAGCCAATCTCGCGCCTCAGCGTCGCCCCAAACGGCTTTCCGCTGTACTCTATGCTGCCCCGGAAGTTAGGGTCGCCCTCCAGCCGCCCCGCCAGCATGTGCAGCAGCAGCGATTTCCCTGATCCCTCTGGGCTGTGAGGGAAAGGAGGGGAGGCGTAAGGAAAGGCAGCAGAGGGCAAGTGAAGGGATAACGGAGAGGAGGGGGGGTTGGGGTGGTGCTGTAGGCCCCAAACGGCTCGCCGCTGTACTCCATGCTGCCCCGGAAGATGGCGTCGTCCTGCAGCCGCCCCGCCAGCATGTGCAGCAGCAGCGACTTTCCACAGCCCTCGGGGCTGTATTTTGAGGGGGGCAGGAGGAAAGGTGGGGGGAGCGGAGCGGATGGGAGGAAATGGGCAGAAATCAAAGGTAACACGAGCAGCAAGAGGGGGGAGTTGGGGTCAGTCAGACTGCAGCCGTTCTGCCAGCATGTGCAGCAGGAGGGACCTGTTCACCAAACGTTCAACAGTGCTCCGAGTTCACCCCGACATCATCACAGCCTCACCTGAACCCACATCATCCCACGCCCACTCGCCCCATCACGGCCAGCAGGTTGCCCTGCGCCACGCCCCCCGTGACGCTCATCATGACCTTCTTGCGGCTTTGGTCACTGCATTTACACTGTTCCCACACTCACGGCCTATCCTCAACCCATCCCCCTCTCCCACTCACCCCATGACAACCAGCAGGTTGCCGGCAGGTTACGCCCCCTGTGACGTTCATTATGACCTTCTTGCGGTAGATGGTCGGAAACGCAACCCACAATAACCCACTCCCACTCACTCACTCACCCCATGACAGCCAGCAGGTTGCCGGGAGCCACGCCCCCCGTGACGTTCATCATGACCTTCTTGCGGTAGATGGTGGCGTCGTCCTCCGCGCGCACGCAGCACCACTTGGACTGGAAGGGGGGGGAGGGGAGGGGGGATGGGGGGATGGATGCGGGGATGGGTCGGCGGAAGGATGGGGAAATGGGGGATGGTAGATGGTCGCGTCGTCCTCCGCGCGCACACAGCACCACTTGGACTGGGGGACGTGTGGGGACGGAGACACAGGGGAACGGACAGACGGGAGAAGGATGGGGGGATGGGGCGTGTGGGTGGGGTGAAGGATGGGGGGATGGTAGATGGTCGCGTCGTCCTCCGCGCGCACACAGCACCACTTGGACTGGCGAGCGGGGGGATGGCGGGAAGATGGGGGGATGTAGGGTGTGGGAGGGGGGGGGAAACAGAGAGACGGGGGAAACGGAGAGACGGCGAAACGGAGAGAGGAGACGGGAGAAAAGGTCTCAGAAGTAGGCACAAGGAGCTGAAGAACGCACATGGCTGTAGGCACGGAGCACTATAGCTGGGACCACTTTATCTGGTTCCATCGCCCGGGCTTAGCAGATAGATAATGCGGGGAATGGGGGAAATGGGGGGAATGGGGGGAATGGGGGGAAGGACGCGGGGATGGGGGGTGTGGATGGCGGGAAGATGGTGGGATGGTCGCATCGTCCTTCGCGCGCACGCAGCACCACTTGGACTGGGGGGCGGGCAGATGCCGGGATGGGGGAATGGGCAGAACGGGGAAAGGGGAAACGGAGAGAAAATAAGACTACCTCAAAAGTCTTAGAGATTTGGTACAAGGAGCTGAAGGACGCACACTGGCTGTAGGGAGGGCACGGAGCACTACTATAGCTAGGACCAGTACTGGGTTCCAGATAGATAATAACGTATGCTTGAGGTATCTTCGTCACGCCCATTGGCTGCCGCCACGGAGTACTGTAGCTATTCCTAATAAGACACACTTCGTTTTTTTATACCTTTCCTCTTTTTGAGAAACGAAGACATTCAATACGCTTCAGGGACGCACATTGGCTGCGGGCACGGAGTACTGTAGCCGTGTCCACGTCACCGACATCCCGTCCGCGACGAACCCCCTCTGCGACGGCTGCGACGCCAGTGCCTTAACGGCTGCGACGACCTTCCTGTCGCGCCGCTCCGTCTGTGCGATGACTGTCGGCGCCTTCCTTCCCGCCACCACTTTCGCGCCGCCGTCTCCATCCGTTATAAGGTTCGACACTTCATGCATATCCTTATCCATTGTAACAGATGGCGCTTATCTCTGTAATGCGGCTATATCACGAAATACAAAAGTTTACGCTATCATAAGAATAAAGCTACTGGCCTCGTGTTATACGCAAGAGAGACAGAAACTACCTGATCTCGATTACCAGTAATACATCCTGCTTCGGGCACAGAATAGATAACCGGATTCCTAGAGCATCCTGGTATATAGCTACTACAGTATCATAATATATCTAGACCCTAATCGGAAACTTTCATGTGGTAGCAAGTTCTCAAGACATTTGCATAACTACTAGTCGATTAGGAACCACTAGGAAAGGTGGTGGTTCGAACAAAGCTCAAGGCAAAAAAAGGCGGCTGCAGGAGTGGAGTATGACCAATCACGCGAGGAGAGGGAATGCCGCGTGGGTGATTTCCGTGGTCCAACTGCCAGGAATGCTGTCCCACGTGGTATCCACCTGAATGACGACTCTCGGCGATTGGTTCCAATTCCAACCTGTAATGGAACAGAGGAAGCACGACCTTCTCCGCTTGCGTGGCACCTCAAAGGAGAGCGAACGAGAGGTCGGGGCGTTCTCCAAGGTGATCATTTGTTCTGAAAACTTTCCACGATAGAACACTATTTTACACCTTTTTCACATTAACGCATCAGTAAAAATGAACGCCGAGTGGCCAAGAAGTGAATTTGAATGGAACATTATTGCGGAACCACAAGTTGTTTTACAACCATAAGGGCGTGTAACATTGCTGTGACCCAACCTAAAATCCGACCATATGGTTGGGGCATGCGAATGCGAAGGGAGTAACACGATGGCGAGGGTTGCGAGATTTTCCCGCCAAATGATAACGATAACGACCGTTTCGGCAAACGCTCAAACCAAGCGACCGTCTGTGCGACCAGACATCCCCGCCGTGATACAATTTGGGGTACCACCCCTAGATTAGCAATACGTGATAGTCCCCGAATTTGTCTCGCGAAGCCCTACGATTTTGTCTGTTTTTTTGTCACAACCATAATTTCGTACCCCTTATATTCCACATCCCGTTCGAGTGCTGGTATTTCGATTACCTTTAAATTCTAATTACGGGGGTAGTTAGGGAGGATGCCCCTGAATCGACCACGCAACCATCATGGTCATTGCAAATCTATTGAGGACGCCTCAGGTGCTTGTTACCATTTCCCTTGCATATCAGCCAACATGACCGAATAGTCGGATTTTAGGTTGGGTCACAGCAATGTTACACGCCCTAAGCTTATCATGTCAGCCTCACAAGAATCAATTATGCGTTACTGTGAAAAGGCCTTCACATGGAACAAAATAGTATTGTGCTCTGAAGGCCATTGTCAAATGTTGTTATATGTTCTTAGGCTACAGTGAGTAGCACTAGGGAGTACAACACTTGTAAGGTTGCTATTTGTACCTCTGCTTTCCTAGTTCACACATTCCGTTGCATTCACTTTCTGAGATGGTATCACGAGTAGGTTTAGCGTCCTTGCCTAGCCTAGCCTACCTCGCGCCCTAGAGTGCCTCCGCGCCTTACGCGCCCTCCGTCACGCGCCCTAGCGCCCTCCGCGCCCTCGCGCCCTCCGCGCTCTAGAGCGTCTCCGCGCCTCACGCGCCCTCTGTCACGCGCCATAGCGCCCTCCGCGCCCTAGACCCCGTAACGCGCCCTCCGTAACGCGCCCTCTGCTGTCAAACTGTATGTTTGTGTTCTTCCTAGGCTATAGTGGGTTTGCCTACAAGGGGTACAACACTTTAGGGTTAGTACTTGTACCCAACTCATTCATAGTTCATTCATTCCTGCCTGCTTATTATAACATGGTATTAGAGCAGAATCGTTCCTAGGGCCCACCGAACGTTCCGCCCTGCGTATTTTTTTTTTTCTTCCTACGCTGCCCCTGCAGCCGCGCTGCCCTTGCAGCCCGCACGCTGCCCCTGCGACCGCGCTGCCCCTGCAGCCGTGCTCGCCCCTGCGACCGCGCTGCCCCTGTAGCCGTGCTCGCCCCTGCGACCACGCTGCCCCTGCAGCCGTACTCGCCCCTGCGACCGTGCTGCCCCTGCAGCCGTGCCTGCCCCTGCGACCGTGCTGCCCCTGCAGCCGTGCCTGCCCCTGTGGCCCGCGTGCTGCCCCTGCAGCCCGCGCGCCGCCCTGCCGAGCCGCGCGTCCCCCCTGCAGCCCGTGGGCGCTGCCCCTGCTGCCCGCGCGCCGCCCTGCCGAGCCGTACGTCGCCCTTGCAGCCCGTGGGCGCTGCCCCTGCAGCCCGCGCGCTGCCCTGCCGAGCCGCGCGTCGCCCCTGCAGCCTGGGCGCCGCCCTGCCGAGCCGCGCGCCGCCCCTACAGCCCGCGCGCCGCCCTGCCGAGCCGCGCGTCGCCCCTGCAGCCTGTGGGCGCTGCCCCTGCAGCCCGCGCGCCGCCCTGCCGAGCCGCGCGTCGCCCCTGCAGCCCGTGGGCGCTGCCCCTGCAGCCCGCGCGCCGCCTTGCCTGAAAAAAAAAAAAAAAAAAAAAAAAAAAAAAAAAAAAAAAAAAAACTACTGCTACTCGTGCTACTGCTGCTGCTGGTGGAGGTGCTGCTGGGAGTGCTGGAGGTGCGGCCGCCCAGCCCCACTGAGCCGCCCTGTTACTGCTACTACTACTGCTGCTGCTACTCGTGCTACTGCTGCTACTGGTGGAGGTGCTGCTGGGAGAGTTGGAGGTGCTGCTGGTGCTGGAGGAGCTGGAGGTGCTAGACCTACTCCTGACCGTCACTGTCTGTCATGGCCGCTATCGCGGCAGTTGCTGCGACCAGGGGTGGACGGCAGCGGGCATTGCCTCTCTTGGACGACCCCACCCCTCAGCAGCTTCGTGAGTGGGTGTTTCAGCGAGGCAATTCTGGTGGTGGAGGTTTTGGTTTTATGTGGCCTAAGCGACCTCGTGACTGTGCTTCTCAGCGGTGCGTCCCTGGCTGTGTCGAGGTTACTGCTCTCGGTTCTAGTGAGTCTGCTGCCGCTCCAGGTGCTAGTGAGTCTGCTGCCGCTCCAGGTGCTAGTGAGTCTGCTGCCGCTCCAGGTGCTGGTGAGTCTGCTGCAGCTCTAGGTGCCCGTGAGTCTGCCGACGCTCTAGGTGCTAGTGCGTCTACTGCCACAGGTCCTGCCTCAGCTGAGATCTTGCACACTTTCACGCTTGACTCAGGCGCGTCACGTTGCTTCTTTTGTGATTGCACCACAGTCACACCACTCGCAGCACCTGTCCCAGTCTCACTGGCTGACCCCTCTGGGGGCCCAGTAGTTGCGCGAGCCTCCACTGTTCTCCCTTGTCCGGCAGTCCCCTCCGGTTCTCTGTCAGGTCTCCACCTCCCCATGTTCTCGACGAACTTGGTGAGCAACGCTGCCATTCAGGATGTCTTGGTTGATACCTTTATTCCTGGAGGGCAGCGTGTGGCGATCTGTACGTGCTCCCGGACTGGCCGTCACCTGGCTACGTTCACTCGACAGCCTGGGTCTAGTCTGTACACACTGACCACTTTGTCTGCACAGGTGGTTGAGTCAGGTCAGGTGGCTGCGTCGAGTCGGGCGTCTGCGTCGGGACAGTTAGCTGCGTCTTGCTCGTGCAGAGTACTCACGCACGAGACTCAGCGCTGGCACCACCGTCTTGGTCACCCCTCCCTGCCGCGTCTACACAGCATGCACTCCCGTCTCCTTGTCTCTGGCCTCCCCAGGACCCTGCCCCCCCTACCGCGCTCGCTTGCGCCGCTGTGCCTTCCTTGCGTCGAGGGGCGGCAGCGCGCCGCTCCTCACTCCTCCGAGTTTCCTCCGACCACTGCTCCTCTGCAGACTCTCCACATGGATGTGTGGGGCCCGGCCCCCATCGGTGGAACAAACCGCGAGCACTACTTCATGCTGGTTGTTGACGACTACACACGCTACACCACTGTCTTACCCTTGCGGCGCAAGGCGGACGTCAGCGGTGTCTTGATCCCCTGGATCCGTGCTACTCGTCTCCAGCTGCACGAGCGGTTCCCAACAGGACTTCCCAGTCCTGCGTCTGCACTCTGACAGGGGCGGTGAGTTCTCCTCTGACCTCCTTGCGGGGTTATGTCGAGACAAGGGCATCCGCCAGACGTTCACGCTTCCGGCCCCTCCTCAGCAGAATGGGATTGCTGAGCGTCGCATTGGCTTGATCATGGAGGTTGCTCGCACCTCCATGATCCATGCGGCCGCTCCCCATTTTCTGTGGCCGTTTGCGGTCCGATACGCTGCGCATCAGCTCAACCTCT